CACTATATATATACATATATATGTACATATATATATTTATGTTTATCAGGATTATATATATATCAGGCACTATCATTATGCCCACTTCTCAAATGAGGAAACTGAGGGCCAGGGAGGTGAAGCTGCACAGCCTCTAACTCCAACAGCTGGGACCCAGTTTACACACTAAAGGTTCCAGAAAGCAAAGATCCTCCCAAGCCACTTTGCTTTCAGGAAGGTCGAGAGTTCCGGGCGGAACTTTGTAAAACTATTGACAGCTCTTGCCCTAGTCCGGGTTCAAGGGGCAGCTCGGTCACTCCCCCGGCACTACGCTCCGCCCAGCCACGCCCGCCCGCTCCCCCCTCTCCTTCCACCGCGCCCCGCACCCCGTCTCCCTAACTCCGCTCCTCCGGGGCGTCCCCGCCCGCGCCTACTCGCCCCGCAGCGCCCCGCGCCCCTCCGGCTGCGCCCGCCCGCAGCGCCCCGCTCAGCGCTGCGAATCACGTGGGACACACCCCCTAGTCCGCCGCCGCCTCGCCGTGACGTAATCACGCGCCCACGCCGTGGGGCGGGGGCGGGGCCGCCAGGGACCGACCGGCTGGGGGTGGGGTCGGCACAGGGTCCAGCTCGGGGCTCCGCGGCCATCGCTGCCTGCGTGGTCCCCTCGCCTCGCCGCTCCGCGCCCTCCCGGGCCCGTGGAGCTGGGCGGCGTCGGCAGCCTCGCTCGGAGGGCACCGCGGCTTCAGGGGCTGGGCCTCCGGCCGGCGCAATGCCGGGCGCCGCGACCGCTCCGTGAGTCTGAGGCCGTGGCCGTGGCGCTGGGCGGCGGCAGGGCCGGGCCGGTCCGCTCATGGTGCCGCCACGACGCCTCCGCTGGGCAGGAAGGCCAGGTAGGCAGGCAGGGCCCCACGACTGCGCCCTGGGCGGCGGCCGAAGCGCCGTTAACGGTCCGCCGGGCGGCCCGACGGGGAGGCTGGCGGGCGGGCGGGCGCGACTCCGGCCGCCGAGGGAGCTGCCCGAGCGCCGCCGCCGAGGGACGTGGACGCTCCCCGGGAGGCGTCACTGCCCCACACTTGTTCCTCCGAAAAAGGAGGCGGGTTCCCCGCAACAGCTGTTTGCTCTCTGCTCCTGTGCGTTGCCATTTCGGTTTAAATGTCTAGATAGAGTGACGGGGTGGCGCAGGAGCCTTTGCCTTTACCACGTGAGCGCCTGGAAACGCGCCCCGGACTCACCACAAACGACTCCCTTTCGCCCGAACCCCGCTCGAGGTCGGGGGGCAGCGAAGCCGCGCAGAAGCCGCGCGTGCGGAGCCCTGTCCCGGGGTGGATCCCCGCAGAGGGGACGGGCTCCCCGCAGAGGGGACGGACGGGGTCGGTCGGTGCGGTTCACCGACGCCGTTTCCCGGGAGCTCGCTGCTGTGGTCTGTGCGCTGTGCGGAAGGTCGCTTTTTCATTTTTTTTCTGTGCTCTGTGCCGTGTAATTCCCTGATTACAGTTTGAAGTCTGGAGAGGAGTGTCAGTTAGGTTGGCCACACTTGGGCATTTTCTTTCGTTTGCGCTCATTTTAAGGACGGGCACAAAAGGTGCGATGACTCTGACTCTGAGCGCTTCGCCTCCCGTCAGGTGCGTTGAGTTCCTCGCCGCCGTTTAGACTCAGATCTGCCAGGTTTGCAGGCGCCGCTCTGGAGGACCTCGGGAAGGCCTGGAAGAGAAGGTAAACCGAGCCCCGTTAGTGACTGTGTGACGTTCAGACTGCAGAGCGGAACACGTGTCCGATGTGTCTGCCCTACGAATTTTCTCGTTGTTTTTTTTTAAATAATCCTCTCTGTTTGCTAAACAGACTGCAAATGGTGTGTGTGTTTATCATGAACCGAATGAGCGCCCAGAGCAGTGGCTTCACGCAGCGCCGGCGAATGGCCCTGGGCATCGTCATTCTCCTCCTCGTGGATGTGATCTGGGTCGCATCCTCAGAACTCACCTCGGTACGTGGCGCTGGCCTTGGAACGATGCTCCATTGTAATGACAGCATCCCTCTTCCTCTGTCGGATCTCTAGTCATTACTATCTCTCATGCTCACTGAAAGCTGCCTTTTGAATATAGTTGAATTATTTATGTTTTCTTTGATACTGAATTAGAGTGAAGTTGAAGCTGAAAGGATACTCTTCGTTGTTTCATACAAGTTTCTTGTGTCTTTTAGGGGTTGTTTAGAAAGCGAGTATATGCATATTTTCTTAATATTTGAAGGTGTTTCTCTGTGTGTGTGTGTGTGTTTTTCTAAGTTCAACTTATTTCTCTGTAAATGCTACTTTTAGGGGAACAACCTTCTAGGATGCAAAGCGATTTGTCACCATTTAGTAGAATGTAAGAATGCTTTTGGACAAATGAGTGAAAGTGATCAGAGTTGTAATGTACAGCTCACTGTTGTGCACATGCACGATTGTTGCATGTACATTTTTATCTGCTGATTTCGTTAAATTTTTTAAAAATATATTTTTATTGATTTTAGGGAGGAAGGGAGAGGGAGAGGGAGAGATAGAAACATCACTGATGAGAGAGAATCATTGATTAGCAGCCTCCGGCATGCCTCCTACTGGGGATCGAGCCTGCAACCTGGCATGTGCCCTTGACTGGAATCCAACCTGGGACCCTTCAGTCCATGGGCCAATGGATGCTCTATCCAGGAGCCAAACCAGCTATGGCTGTATTTTTTTTTTTTTGATGACCTATTGGCAGTATCATGGTATTTTGAATTCACAAGCTAGTTTTTCTCTCTACTTGTGCAGTTACTTTATTCTGTTTGGTTAGTGATCCCTATAAAAAGACAAGCAATTTTATTTTCAGAAATTACTGTATTTAAACTTGCATGTTGCAGTCATAAGGCTAATATACAAAAATAAACTAGCATTTATAAAATGGCCTGAAATGTCAGAAGAAGCCATTTGATACTGCTGGTCATCTCACATCATAGCTAAGTAAATAGTTGCCATTGACAGTGTATCTAATGAATAAATCAACTTTTAGTCTTTTTGGAATTAGGCTCTGGAGTAAAACAGGCCATTTATTTTTAACTCTTCTATTCCCCTCACACTTCTATAACCTTTTTTTTAAGATTAATATTCTGTTTAAAAAAACCTCTTTAATGTTGACAGAGAAATAACCCTATCTTTAACACGTTAAGCGCCAGTCACCAGTAACTGACACTATACTTTCTGTCCGGAAGACAAAACAGGCTGGGCGCTTAACCCAGCTGGGTGTTAAACTTTTATTTTAGTTTTAAGTAGTTTTGTTTCTTATTTATCAGGCAAGAAAATTTACAGCAAAAGAGCACCTCATTAAATTATAATTTAGCAGTCCATATCTAAGCAAAGTAAAAAACAAACACAAAAAATTTGTTCCTATTTTTTTGTGTGTGTGTCCCTATTTTTTAAAAAGTAAAATCTATTACTAAGAGGATATTTTATAATTTCATTATCCAAGAGCATATGTAATGTGTCTAATTCTTCAGTACAGATATGCTTATCAAACTTTTGAAATTAAAAATTATATATGTAAAAAAAAAATCAGCCTGGCTGGTGTGACTCAGTTCAGTGGTTGAGCGTTGACCTATGAACCAGGAGGTCACGGTTCTATTCCGGGTCAGGACACATGCCTGAGTTGTGGCTCGAACCCCAGTGAGGGGCATGCAGGGAGCAGCTGATCAATGATTCTCTGTCATCATTGATGTTTCTAACTCTCTCTCCTTCGCCCTTCCTCTCTGAAATCAATAAAAAAAATATTTTTAAAAAAGAAAATCAATCTTTTTATTATGGAAAACATCTAATATATACAGAGTAGAGAGAAGTAAAATGAATTTTCATGTGCCCATCATTTACTTTTAACAATTGTCAAATTTTGCCGATCTTATTAACTTCTGATTTTATGTAAAAATTCTTTTATATTCATCTCAAACTGAAAATGACTTAATTTTTAAAAATATAATCACTATGCTATTAACATACCTAACAAAATTAATTACAATTCCTTAAATATGGATATCCAGTCCATATTTAAATTTCTTTGGTTATGTTAAGGACATCTTTTTAGTTTAAGATCTAAACAAAAGATCACACATTTCATTTGTTATAATTCTTAAGTCATTTTTATTTTGCTGTATTCCCCTGCCCCCCTCCCTTTATCATGCCATTGATTTGTTGGAGAAACTGTATCATTTTTCCTGTAGGATGGATTACACTGTCAGTCTCTTTGGGGTGCTTTGGCAGAACCACCATAGGCTGTGTGGTTCAAGCAACAAACGTTTATTTCTCGCAGTTATGGAGGCTCAAAAGACCATGGTCAAGATGCAGGCAGATTCTGCCTGGTGTGGAGCTGCTTCCTCATTCTTGGTGGCAGTCTTCTCACTGTGTCCTCACAGGGCAGAGCTCTCTAGATTCTTTTTATGTGGAACTAATCTCATTCATAAGGGCTCTACCCACAGGCCCCACCTCCTAATATCACTATATTGGAGGTTAGTTAGGATTTTAACATGAATTTTTGGGGGACCCAAGCATTTAGTCCATAACACATTCTGGATTTGATTGATTGCTTCCTTGGGGTGTCATTTAACTTGCTCCTCTTTTTTATCCTATATAATAAAATCCTAATATGCTAAATGTCTGACTGCTAGACTCTTCAACCAGTCGCTATGACGCGCACTGTCCACCAGGGGGCAGACACTCCGACCCATAGGTTAGCTTGCTGCTGGGGTCCAGCCAATTGGGACTGGGCAAGACAGGCCGGACTTGCCCTGGAGCCCTCCCGCGGTCCCTCTGCAGCCCCGATCATGCACTGGTGGGGTCCCTTGGCCTGGCCTACGCCCTCTTGCAATCCGGGACCCCTCAGGGATGTCGGAGAGCTGGTTTCAGCCTGATCCCCGCAGGCCAGGCTGAGGGACCCCACCGGTGCACAAATCCATGCACTGGCCTTCTAGTTTCCTATAAAATGGTAGATAGGTGTACAGTCTTGATTTGATTCAGTTTCAGTATTTAGGAAAAAATACCTTGGTGGTACTGGGCACTTCCTTGCATATCACAACATGAGGCACATAATGGCTGCAAGTCTTACCATGGGTAATGCCAGTATGAGAACTATAAAGTTCCTTATCAACCTGTAAGTAATAGTTGAATATCCTTATGATTATGCCCAGATAGGGTATTTCATTAGAAGTGGTAAAGTGGCGATTTTTCTAAGGGCCATTCCTTCTGCATTTATTAGCTGGAATTCTGTAAGGAAGACTTTTTCACAACTACTGTTTGGTTATCCTGAAACATGGTTTATAGAAAAAATGTTGGATAAATCTTGATTCTTTTCCTTTATCCATTTTAAAATAATGTTGCCTAGCAACTTCCAGTGGTAACCATTGAGGGTTTTTTGAGTATCTTTATACATTCATGGATTTTTGTATACTTGATGTTTCAAACAGTTGTAGTTATTTCTTTTGACACTTAAAGTTTCCTATCTTTGACCACTAGGAAACCCTTCATGTTGTCTCTAATACCCTTTTAACATGATCTCTTTAATCTTTAACATCCTATCTGCTTTCTGGCACAAGATACCCCAGGCTCATCTGGTACATTTCCTGCCCTATACATGGATGTAGTCATTTCTTCAATAACGCATGGTTCAGATCGCTATCTGGATTCTAGAGGTGCCCATTCCTCCAGGGTTGTTATTTTTTCTGGGTCTTTCAGTGCAGATAACTAAAACTTTTTTTTAGGAAAGGAAACATCATGAGTCCATACTGATATTTCCAATTTAAACAAAGATTACATATTTTGTATAATTTCCTAATAACTTTAAATTTCATGCAGTTTTCTTCATACACCATTCCATTTCATTGCCTGTTACTTTGGGATAACTGTTCAGGCAGCGCAAAAATAGTTTCTTTTAGGAAACTTCCATAACCTTTAAAATGGCCTGTCTCCCTTTGCTATTCCCATGGTACCCTCTATATCCCTGTCATGGTTTTTTAGCACGTTATGATGTGTGCTCTCCTTTCAGGAAAGCCTGTCTTATTTTTCTTTAGCTTCTAGCATAAATACTATTGCATAGTAGGTTTTCAGTGAATGTTGAACAGAACTTGTTTTTGCCCAGTTATTCATGCTTTGTTTGGGTATATTATCTTTTTTTTTTTCAAGGCAAATACTGTATAATATTCAGAAATGAATCTAAAACATTTTTATAATCCCTTTAGAGTTTTCTTTTCCAAATGAACTTTTAGAGTTAAAAATCATGTAATGGCTTTGTTTTATTGGAGATAAGTAATTAGGTTTAAAGTCATCTCATAGTTTATGTAACTTTTTTCTCTCTAGTATGTTTTTACTCAGTACAATAAACCATTCTTCAGCACCTTTGCAAAAACATCGATGTTTGTTCTGTACCTTTTGGGCTTTATTATTTGGAGGCCATGGAGACAACAGTGTACAAGAGGATTTCGAGGAAAGCATGCTGCTTTTGTAAGTTTTCAATTTTAAATGTTTGTTGGAGACAGATGAGTTTTTCAAAGTTTAAAGATGTATTAGTTTCTTGAAGGACAGTCCAATTTTAAGTTGTTCAGTTAAGTGAGTGAACATAGCATATTATAAGAAAAACCTACTTTTGTCCAAAACTTTAAATGTATTCTTTTAATCACCTTCGTATCAGAATATCTTGTGAGAAATCAAAGGTATATAATCACCCTCTTTTCTTTATCTCATGACATCCTCTGAGTTGTTAAACATTTTTGAACTAGCCTAAATCATTTAATGTGGAGATGATGATGAAAGTAAGGAAGAAGAAGAATATCTGGATCTCTGATCTTTTGTAGACTAGATGATTATCATCTAATTGGTTATAACATTGATTGTAAAAGCAAAATTATTCAAGGTTTATTTGTTAAAATGAAAATAGCATATTTCAGGGCATGTTTCAGATGTTTGGCTAATCAAATTATGTTCTTTCAGTGCTGATTCATAGAAATAGAAACTGAAGTTTTGAGAATGAAGGATATAACACTGTCTCAATCCTTTTTTATTCTCTCTCCTTTTCTTTTTAAAATTGTGGTAAAATATACATAACATCAAATTTATCATTTTAACCATTTTTTTCTTTTTCCCTTTTTTGTGGGCTATATGTGTGTGTGTGTGTGTATGTGTGTGTGTGTATATATATATATATATACATATATATATATATAAAACAAAAGTTCCTATTTGAAACATTTTTATTTTATTTTTAAAATATATTTTTATTGATTTCAGAGAGGAAGGGAGAGAGACATAGAAACATCAGTGATGAGAAAGAATCATTGATTGACTGTCTCCTGCATGCCCCTTACTGGTGATCGAGCCCGCAGTCTGGGCATGTGTCTGTTACTGGAATTGAACCTGAGAGCCTTCAGTTTGCAGGCTGACGCTCTATCCACTGAGCCAAACCAGCTAGGGCAATTTGAAACATTTTTAAAAGTATATAGTTCAGTGGCAGTAAGTATTTTGCTGTGCAAACATCACCACTATCCACTCCAGAACTTTTTCATCATTCCAAACAGAAACACTGTGCCTATTAAACAACTCCCATGTCCCTCCTCCCTTCCTTCTCTGGTTAGTACTGTTTTACTTTCTGTCTCTGTCACTCCTATTCTTTTGTCCGCTATTTTTTGTGTAGGTTAAAATACTATTATATCTTGTCTTACCTAATGAGTACATTCTTGAGACATACAGTCATTTGATTTTTATCAGGGGCTTTTCAGTAACTTTTTGAGGTTAAGCCTGGAAGTATACACATATGTGCACAAAAATTTAACTTTTATGAAAAAAAGTGTGTGCATATATATTTTTAAGAGGAATATATAGACATTATAGAAATGTATATATATTATAGTATTACATGTAGGAATGTTATATGTATGTGAATATATGTACATTGTCAAAAATTTAGAAAATATAGACAAAAAATAATAAATTCTACCATTCAAGGAATAATTCTACCATTAAAGGAATGAATTCTACCATTCATTGACAGTATTTTGGCATATATCCTGCAGTTTTTTTTCATGTATGCATTTGTTTCATTTTTCACAAAAGTGAAATTTACTGTTATGTCCTGTATTATAACTTGTTATCATGAACAACTTTCTATGTAATTTAGTATTACTAGAACATTTTTTAATATTAAAGATTTTTTGAATGTAGTAGTGATAAATGTTCATTGTTGAAGACAAATTATAGTAACAAGAAGAACAAGAATAATCTATCCACAATCTCACCATTCTAAGGCCACTATAAATATTTGATATTTTCTATAGCTATATATTTATGTAATAATACTTAAAATTATTTATAGCAGAAATAAGTTTAGTCTTATAGTTATACCTAACTTATATCTCTGTTAGCAGTATATGAGATTGAATCCTTACCAAAACCCTAACATTTGCCAACTTGATTAAGTGATCAGTGGCATCTTGTTTAATATGCATGGTTTGGGTTACTCTTTCATATATTTGTTGCACAATAGAATTCTTTTATCAGTTGTCTATATATCTTGTCCATTTTTCTACATTGACTTTTTCTTATTGATATACAAGCATTCTTAATAGCATGGACTTTGTATTTGAATCTTGTTCTGTCACTACTGATTGTGTGATTGGGCAAGTTATTTAACCTCTAGCGACTAAGCAAGGATAATGATAGGGTAGCTGTGGGTATGAATAAAAGCCTGCTTATACACCACTAGCACCATGCTTCTCAGAACGTGGTCCAGCCGCTGAGATCCATTTAGGGAATTCTTGATTAATACTGTTATCATGATAATACGAAGATGTTATTTGTCTTTTTCACTAACCACTCACTCTTTCCTTTCCCTGCTAATCTGAAATATTATAATAGTATTGTGAAAGGAGCATACATTTTGGAGTTAGATTAACTTGGGTTTAATCCTAACTCTTGTTACTTAGATAAAATCTCTCAGTCTCAGTTTCTTTAAAATTAAGATAATACCAACCTTGCATGGATGAATACTGACCATTAGCTGCTATTATTGTTAATAATAGTTATATTCTTATAGATCTACTCTGGTTTTTCTATTCTTTTAAGCTATGACTGACACTAGTTCTACTTTATCATGAGTTTAATGGAATTTTTTGTCCTGTTATCTGTAGTTTGCAGATGCTGAAGGTTATTTTGCTGCTTGCACAACAGATACAACTATGAGTAGCTCTTTGGTAAGTGCTTCTTTTTTTGTCAGGAATGGAGCAGAGGGAGGTGAGCCATAGTGGGAAGGACTGAATAGCTTTGAACACCAAAGCTACATTATAATATATATAAATATTGGGTGCCCTCCATGATTATTTTAGCTTGGTACTCTCTTTCTTTAGGGACACCTGGAGCCAACAAATAAGCAATTCAACTACTACAGGGGAGAGAGGGGGAGGGAAATAGTTAAGAAGTAAAAATAGTGATGGGCAGCCCTTTGTCCTTTGTTTCTTAAAAGCTTTGTCACTTCGTGTTTATTATTATACTAGAGGCCCGAGAGGCCCGGTGCATGAAATTCGTGCACTCGGGCGGGGGGGGTGGGGGGGCTCAGCCCGGGAGCCCTTGGGGGATGTCCGACTGACAGCTTAGGCCTGCTCCCCGTGGGGAGCAGGGGGCAGCTCCTGCGTTGAGCGTTTGCCCCCTGGTGGTCAGTGTGCATCAATTATATAGGATTATTATCACTTAGAAACACATGTATTTGCTTGACACTGAGAATTTTTTAGCAGATTTTTCATTAGTCCCATAAATTTTTTAAGAGTGCTTAATCTGTATTAAGCACTTGTTTTTTACTCTGGAAATATAGTTTACATTCTAGTAGTGAGAGCATAACTTTGGAAAGGAGAAGGAGACAGATAATAAGCAGATAAAGTAATGCATTTACTTATATTAGGCATTTATAATCTCATTGGAGAGATAATATATTAAAATATTTATTTAGACCATCACTAAAACATTTTTTAATGTATTGTTCAAAATGTGGCATTTTGTCTGAGAAGAATTTTAAAGTTGCTCTAAAATTTAATACAAATTTATATGCATTGGCTTGGTTTTTTATTTGTCCGGCTTCTAGAACTACATTTGTATTCAGGGTAGGTTACCAGGTGCTGTGAAAAGTTTTTGAAGCTTAGGGAAAATGTCATCTCATTTCTCTGGGATCATAAGCATCAACAAAGTATTATCAGTTGTCTCTTTCAGTGTAGAAAGCAGAGCTAAGATGGCAGCCTACTCTTCTAACTACTCTTCTAATTTCTTTAAAAATATATTTTATTGATTTTTTTTACAGAGAGGAAGGGAGAGGGACAGAGAGTTAGAAACATCGATGAGAGAGAAACATCGATCAGCTGCTCCTGCACACCTCCTACTGGGATGTGCCCACAACCAAGGTACATGCCCTTGACCGGAATCGAACCTGGGACCTTTCAGTCCGCAGGCCGACGCTCTATCCACTGAGCCAAACCGGTTAGGGCTCTTCTACTAATTTTTGCTATTATCTTTAAGATGGATATGTCAAATCATTCTAGGCCAAATGCTGTAATGAAAAGTTCAATGTAACAAGAGACTACATCTATTTCCAGATTCTATAGTCTCTTCATTTACTGAATATTTTTTATTGGTGGAGTTCTATACCAGGAGTTAAAAGAGAAATCAAAGATATAAAACACAATTTTATGTTAATTTAAGAAACAGCTTGGTTGGAGAATTGTTTTTTAAATATGGATTATCTGAACAATTTTTGCAAAAACAGTTGAATTTAAAACAACTTAAAAATATCGATCTTTAGAACATGTTAGACAAACCTGGCTTAATTCTGTTGTCTACCACTGGGTTATTATATCTCAGCTTCTAGAAAAGTTATTTAAAATACCATTTTATAAGGTTGTTTCAAGGGCTAATGAGAAATGTATGTTTAACTGCTCTGGACTTGGTACCTGTTACATAGCAAGAACTGGTAAGTGGAGGTTGCGAAGGTGGTATAGTGGTGAGCATAGCTGCCTTCCAAGAACTGGTAAGTGGTAGCTTTTTTTTTTCTTATCTGTTAATGCTAAAAAAGTTTTCAGGAATTTTTGGTTTTAGTTGAATCTTAAGTAATAAGAGAAAACAACTTGGCAAATATATATACATATTATATAGGTGATTATCTGTTCACTGTCTGCCTTCCCCTTTGGACTATATGATCACTGAGGACACTTCGTTCACTCTTATATTCTCAGGAAGTAGGACAGCACCTGACATAGTGGGACTCAACATGTATTTATTAAAATAATGAGTGAAAAGGAATGGGAGGTAATCTGTTAATTGAGAGATGGGTCTGCTTTTATGACATTTAAATGTTAAGTATTATAAGATACAAATGAGGTATTATTACACTTACAAAGTTGAAACTGGTTCTTTTCTGTCATTGTACCTATGTGCATCGTTTGAGTTTCTCCTTTAAGTCTTGAAAATGCATTTTGGGAAAATTATGCTGTAAAAACATGGTGGTGAACAGCCATGTTTTGAGTGGTATCTGTGCCTACAAACCATCCACTTAAATTTTATCCACTATATCAGCTATTACATATTTGTTTATGTTTGTTTCTGTTTCTGGTATGTTCCAGAGTGAACCTCTGTATGTTCCTGTGAAATTTCATGATCTTCCCAGTGAAAAACCTGAGAACACAAATACTGATACTGAAAAAAGTAAGCAAAACTTAGAATTTCATATCTTAGATATGGGTGGAAATCTTAGCTTCATTCAAGCCATCCCAAAACTTAGTGATTTTTGAGATCACTTGGCAGTTGTCTGTTCACGTGGTATTGGCTTTGCCTGTAGTCTTCCAGAAGTATGACTGGAGTTTTTATTAATTCAACTGTAAATAATTTCCAAATACCAGAAGTCTCTGTGCTTTATATATATACTTCTTTTCTTAATGAACAATATTCTCTTCAACCATGCCATCAAAAAAACTTGATAGCCAATTATAGGAATTTTGCTGGTTCTGTGAATTTAGTAAAGAATGCCAGCTTCAACATAAGGCACAGTATTTATCCATAATGTTCTTTTGCAACGAATGGACCTATAGAGGAATATTCTGTATTCTTGAATGGAAACTAATTCTCATAAATTGATTATCTATGAGGGAAAATCCGAAGTTTTACTATAAATGTTAAAATAATAATCTAATAAAAGAGAAACATGCAAATTGACTGTACCTCTGCTACGCCCCAAGCCACGCCCACCAGCCAATCAGAGTGACTATATGCAAATTAACCCAACCAAGATGGCAGCCGGCAGCCACAGAGCTGGAGCAAGCAGGAGGCTTGGTTGCCCTGGTGATGGAGGAAGCCAAGCTTCCTGCGTGCTCTGGCTGGCTGTGGCCTCCGTTCAAGGCAACAAAGTTTCAATTATAGAAGATAAATAAATCCCAGATACCTGCTTCCAGCCAGCCTCCACTGGGAGCTTGGGTGGCTGGGGGCTGTGGCCAGCCTGCAAACAGCCATCAACCCCTCACCCAGGCTGGCCAGGCACCCCAGCAGGACGCCCCTCCCTGAAGGGGGTGTGGCCAGCCTGAGAACTGCCCTCAGCCCCTACCCAGGCTGTCCAGGCACCCCCGGGGGACCCCTACCCTGAAGGGGCTGTGGCCAGCCTGCAAACAGCCCTCAGCCCCTCACCCAGGCTGGCCAGGCACTCCAGTAGGGACCCCCACCCTGAAGGGGCTGTGGCCAGCCTGCAAACAGCCATCAACCCCTCACCCAAGCTGGCCACACCCTCACTGGGTGAGGGTCCCCACTGGGGGGCTTGGCCAGCCTGAAAACAGCCATCAGCCACTCACCCAGGCTGGCCAGGCACTCCAGCGGGTCCCCCACCCTGAAGCGGGTGTGGCCAGTCTGAAAACGGCCCTCAGCCCCTCACCCAGGCTAGCCAGGCACCCCAGCGCGACCCCCACCCTGATCCGGGACACCCTTCAGGGCAAACCAGCTGGCCCCCACCCATGCACCAGGCCTCTATCCTATATAATAAAAGGGTAATATGCAAATTGACCCTAACAGCAGAATGACTGGGAATGACTGGTCACTATGACACACACTGACCACCAGGGGGCAGACGCTCAATGCAGGAGCTGCCCCCTGTTGGTCAGTGCGCTCCCACAGGGGGAGCTCTGCTCAGCCACAAGCCAGGCTGATGGTTGCCAGTACAGCGGTGGTGGTGGGAGCCTCTCCTGCCTCCTCAGCAGCGCTAAGGATGTCCGACTGCAGCTTAGGCCTGCTCCCCGCTGGCAAGTGGACATCCCTTGAGGGCTCCCAGGCTGCCAGAGGGATGTCTGACTGCCAGCTTAGGCCCAATCCCCCGGGGAGCGGGCCCAAGCTAGCAGGTGGTCATCCCCTGAGGGATCCCAGACTGTGAGAGGGCGCAGGCCGGGCTGAGGGACCCCCCCCCCCCGAGTGCACAAATTTTTGTGAACCGGGCCTCTAATCATACTATAATCCTGAACTAGGCAGTTGTGTATATATACAGTTGCAGAAATCTTGTTTGAATATTGGTCGTACCTTAAACCTTTAAAACATTTTTATAGATGTAAACGTTTTTTCTGTTTACTTTTTTGAATGAGCAAAGCTGCCTCAGGTAATGATACAACTGGTTTTTCTTTGACTGTTCAAGTCTGATCATTAAATAATATGCTTTTACTAGTAAATTAAAATGTGACTTGTTGGATGTGAGGAGAAACGTTTAATGATTTGTACTATACTTTTTCTTTTAAGCTCCCAAAAAGTCTCGTGTAAGGTTCAGTAATATCATGGAGATTCGACAGCTTCCATCAAGCCATGCATTGGAAGCTAAGTTGTCTCGCATGTCATATCCTACTGTGAAAGAACAAGAATCCTTACTCAAAACTGTGGGGAAACTTACTGCAACTCAAGTAGCAAAAATTAGCTTTTTTTTTTGCTTTGTGGTATGTCTTCTCTTTATTATACTTTTATTATATGTTTGGACCTTGAATTTTAAGACAGTATACATATCAACTATACTATTGAAGTGTAAAATTTTTAGGTTGCTTAATCATGGCTTTAAACTCTGCTGCCTAGCATCATTGGGGAATTGAAGTATTGAACTTAAATGCTTGTCACACCTCAAAGAATTTAATACTTTAACACTACAATTACTCATATATTCAGAATTGCCATTGCCTCATGGTCAGAATAATGAATAGAGTTAATTTACACTATGCTATGTACATGGGCTAGTAAATATCCAGCTAAGAGTTTACTGTATATATTGATCTCTTTAAATAGGGGTTTAACAAGTTTTTATTAAATTCATGTAAATACGGTCAAATTTATTGGGATGACATCTATATATATAAAAGCCTAAGTGACCCTTACAACTGAATGACAGAACGATCAGTCGACCAGTTGCTATGACATGCCCTGACCACCACGGGGCAGACGCTCAACACAGGAGCTGCTCTCTGGTGGTCAGTGCGCTCCCACAGCCAACCTCCTGTGGTGGACCAACCTCCTGTGATCCCTTCCTCCCAGCCGGCTGGCCCCGATCGCCCCTATAGGGACTGGGCAAGACAACCCCGATCAGCCCCAATCGCTGGCCAGGCTGAGGGACCCCACCTGTGCACGAATTCGTGCACCGGGCCTCTAGTTGGTTAATAAGATCATAGAGGTTTCAAGTGTACATTTCTATGATACATGACCTGTATATTGCATTATGTGCCCACAACCCACAGTCAAATCGTCTTCTGTCACCAATACTTGTTATTACCTGTCTTGTTGATAATAACCATTCTAAAAGGTGTGAGGTAGTATCTTATTGTAGTTTTGGTTTGCATTTCCCCAATAGCTAGTGAAGTTGAACATCTTTTCATATATCTTCTGGACTTTTGTATGTCTTCTTGGGAGAGGTGTCTGTGTCTGTTCACGTCTTCTGCCCATTTTTTTAATTGGATTGTTTGTTTGGTGTTGAGTTGTATGAGTGCTTTATATATGTATTTTGGATATCAATCCCTTGTCGGAGCTGTTGTTTGCAAATATCACCTCCCATTTGGTTGGTTGCATTTTTGTTTTGTTGCTTCTAAGTTACTGAATTTGGTGGCACATAGTCTTTTATAGTATTCTAGTGTGTTCCTTTGTATATTTGTGATGTCTGTGGTAACTTCTTTTTTATTTCTGAATTTGTTTATATGAGTTCTCTTTTTTTCTTAGTGAACAGAGCCAGGGGCTTGTTAATTTTAATAATATTTTTTTAAAGAATCAGCTCTTTGTTGTATTAATTTTTCATATAGTCTTTTGTTCTCTATTTCATTCAATTCTCCAATTTTTATTTCTTTTCTACTGACTTTGGGTTGTTTTTGTTCTTTTTCTAGTTCTTTAAGATAAAATTTAGGTTGTTTACTTGGGATTTCTTATTTTTTTGAGATAGGCATGTGATGATATAAACTTCCCTCTTATTACTGCTTTTGTATCCTAGAAGTTTTGATATGTGGTATTGTCATTCTCATTTGTCTCTATATATCTTCTGATCTCACCTTTTATTTATTTTTAATAGTGACCCAATCATTTTATTTTAAAATGACCCAATCATTTTTAATAGTATGTTGTTTAATTTCCACATATTTGGGGGGGTTTTTACATTTTTTGCAGTTGATTTTTTTTTTTTTAATCTTAAGGATTAAAAAGAGAGGAAGGAAGGGAGAGAGAAAAATATCTATCGCATCCCAACCAGGGATCAAACCCACAACCTAGTTATGTGTCCAGACTGGGAATCAAATCTGCAACCCTTTGGTGTATTGGACGATGCTTCAACCAACTGAGCCACCCCAGAAAGGGCTGCAGTTGATTTCTAATGTCAAAGCATTGTGGTCAGAGAATATGCTTAATATGTTATCTGTCTTGAATTTGTTGAGGTTAGTTTTATGACCCAACATATGGTCTTTCCTTGAGGATGTTCTATGTGCACTGGAGAAAAATGTATAATCTGATGTTCTGTGATGAGAGGTTCTGTAAATGTCAATTATGTCCATTTGGTCTAATGTGTCGTTTAAGTCTGATATGTCTTTCTTGATTTTCTGTTTGGATGTTCTACCTAGAGCTGTCAATGGAATATTAAGGTTCCCATCCATGATTATGTTTTTGTCTGTTTCTCTTTAGTTCTGTTAGTAGTTGCTTTATATGTTTTGGTGCTCCCTGATTGGGTTCATATGTAGTAAGAAGTGTTACATTCTCTTGATGTACTGTCTCCTTTATCATATAAAATGTCCATCTTTGTATCTTATTACTTTTCTTATCTTGAAATCTGTTTTTGTCAGATAGAAGTGTGGCTACACCTGTTCTTCTGTGGATGCTATTTGCTTGGAGAATCATTGTCCACCCTTTTACTTTGAGTAAAAGTAACTTTGTCTTTGCAACTTGGATATGTCTTCTGAAGGTACCATGTGGTTGGGTTTTACTTTGTGATCCAATCTGCTACTCAGTATCTCTTTTTGGTGAATTCAGTCCATTTAAATTTAGGGTAATTATTGATGTACTAGTGGCCCTGTGCACGGATTCATGCACATTGAAAGGGAAATAATTAGAAGGAATATTTTAATATTGCTATTTGCCCTTTCTCTCTCAGCGCCTGGGAGCTGGGCAGTGGCCCTGTCCCCCCCACCGCTACTGGTCGCTGTCTGCGGGGCAATAGATAGGGCGATCAGGCCCCTGCTCATACCCGCCTTGGCCTGGTGCCACCTGCTCACCTACTCCACCATCCCGCTGCAGTCCCGCTCTTGTGGGTGCCCATTGGGGCCAGCAGCACCTCCACTGCTGCCCGCTGCCAGTGCTGACATCTGCCATGTTCTGTGCCTCCCCCTGGTGGTCAGCACACATCATAGCGAGTGGTCAAACTCCCGATCTCCTAGTGAGTAGGACCTAGTCGAACTCCCGGTTGAACCGTTGCCCAAGGGAATAATTTGCATATTAGGCTTTTATTATATAGGATGAGGATCCCCTATAGCCATTTTATCTTTTGTTTTCTGGTAGCTCTGTGCCCCCATTGGTTCTTTTTCTGTGTGTTTCTGTCTATTCTTTTTGTTTGGTGGTATTCCATGCTTCTTTCCTCTTTCTTTAAGCTATAGGTCTCAGTTTTTGTGTGTGTTGTGTGTGTGGTTATCATTAGGTTTATGAAAAGGAAAATTTCATATATACAGTAGCTTTTTTCTTTAAATGCATCTGATCTCCATCCTTCTTTGCAAATTCAGATCTTTCACTGCTGCCCTTTTATGTTTTTGTTGTCCCAGAATATCCCTGTATATGCTGCAAGTTTGTTGGTGATCTTACTCATAGTTTTGTGACTTTTTGTTCTTTGTTTAAGGTAGAATAAGACTCTTGAGTATTTCCTGCAATGCAGGTCTTCTGGTGATAAATTTTCTTAACTTCTGTATGTCTGAAGAAGTCTTTATTTCTCCTTTATAGCTAAAGGATAACTTTGTTGGATATATTATTTTTGGTTGGTAATTTCTTTCTTTCAGTAGTTTGAATTTTGGTTCCACTTTCTTCTAGCTTACAGAGTTTCTGCTGACAAGTCCAATGATAACCTAATGGGCTTTCCTTTATAGGTTACTTTCTTACTTTCCCTGGCTGCCTTGAGAATTCTTTCATTGTCATTAATTCTTGACAATTTTAATATGATGTGTCTTGGAGAAAGCCTTTTTGGATTGAGGTAATTAGGTGTTCGGTTTGCTTCTTGGATTGGAGGATCTAGTTCTTTTCATAGGTTTGGGAAGTTCTCATCAACTATTTGTTAGAATAGCCTCTCTATTCTTTTCTCCCTCTCTTCTTCTTGTGGTATGCCTGTTCTCATATTGTTCTTTCTGATGGAATCAGAGAGTTCTAATAGAGTTCTTTCATTTTTTTATGCTCAAGTCTCTTCTTCCCTCTGCATTATTTCTAGATTTCTATCTTCAATATCACTAATGCTTTCCTCCAGCTGCTGTTTCCTATCTTCGCTAGTTCATCCTCAGTCTCTTTTATCCAGTTCTCTACCTCCAGAATTTGTTTGGTTCTTTTCAACAGTTTCAATCTCTTTAGTAAAGTACTGCTTTGTTTGTTGATTTGTTTTCTGAGCTCATTAAATTGCCTGTCTGTATTTTCTTGAATCTTCAACTACAAGTAAATTGTGGCTTCTGTTATCATATAAGTTTGATATTGCCCATCTCACCAATTGCTACTTCATTTTTTTATTTAGATAGTCAAGTGAAATTAGTTAGGTATTGTGTGTTTTAAAAATTATTGTGGCATACTGGTTTAAAGTCGCTGATCTAGGCAGGTCAGAGGACTGCAGGGGGAATCAGAATAACTTCGCCATAGTTTTATCCTGGCTTTAGCCTTTTGGTACAGTTTACACTGAATGGAGACTACTAGACTCTCAGCTATCTGCTTGCTACCTTTTAGCAGTGCTCTGGAAGCATGTGTCTGTCTATGCTAGAAATGAAATGTAACTGCTAATAATTATACTGCTCACAGAAGTTCCGAGACACATTAGGAGATGTCCCTCCAGTCAATGTTTAACAGTGATGCCAAAAACAGACAAGTAGTTAATTATCTTTGACTGAACAATTTGCTTCTTAGTATATATGTTAGTGACACTCATGTATATATGCCTCAGTAGTTATACACTAGAATGTTCATAGCAGCATTGTTTTAAATAGTCAAAAAGTGTCCATTAACAGGAAAATGGATGAGTTGTGGTAATATGCATCAGAATATCTGATGGCAGTGAGAATAAATGAACTTTGGATACACACACATACCAGGCTTCATCAAAAGAGGTTTCATTTCTTATTCTCTAAATCAAAGTAGGCACAGGGTTGGGAATATAAGAATATCTTAGCCTAGATGAGTAAAAGGGAAGAAAGAAGAAAAAAAAAATTCTCAGAGCTGGAAAACTTCCTTTATTATATCTAAAGTTGTGAGAACTCTGTATTGTGTTTTCAAACTGAGAATCAGAAAAACAATCACAATTAGCCAATACATTCACCATTTTCTTGGACATTTTTAAATTTCTGAACTGAATATAGCATTTTATCTAGCAATCTAGCTAGCTAGTTCCATCCATCTCCATAGGCATCATCTTGTTCATTTCTCAGCATGCTATGCTTGTTTGTACATATTTTAATGTTTGAGAATTTTCCCCAATTTAAATTTGATTTATATAAACTTAATAGAGTGCTAGCAGTGCTTGGATAAAGAAAATTTTAAAGTTGATTTGATACTAAATTTTATCCTCATTTTTAAAAAAGACCTGAACAATAATTTTTAACCAACTGTTATTAATTTTTGAAGGGAAATTATCTTAGGTCTGATTATACTTGTCCTCTTTTCGGGCCTGTGATTTTTCAATACAAACCAGATTTTAAAACCTCTCATGTTCATGTTTAGGGGGAGGAAAAAAGGGGCAATCATATATTGTAATGGCAAATATAAACATGCCATTCATTAGGTTTCACTTTGTTTTCTATTTCTTTAGTGGTTTTTGGCAAATTTGTCATATCAAGAAGCACTTTCAGACACACAAGTTGCCATTGTTAACATTTTGTCCTCAACTTCTGGTAAGAAATGTATCTTTAAAATCTGCATTATGAATCAAGATATATTTCTAATATATATGTGTATTATACACACATTTTTATCTTGTTATAAATTATGTCATTTGTTCTCATTACATTAGTGTATTGTAACTATTTCTTAATCTTTATAGTTTTATGCCATAGCCTTATGCTATTTATATTTCTAACAAATACTTTACAGTATTTTGTATACCAATATGCTGGCTCTTTGTATTATAGTTGCCCTATCTTTCACATATTCTTTCCAAAGATCTTTTTCTAGATCCTTTGGCTAAATGTAATTGCTTATCTTAGAACTATAATTTGCCCTATGAAAGGTGTTTTTATTTTTAAAATTGAATCACCTTCCAAATCTAGAAGATAACAAGTGTTTTGAAGCTGTAAAAATAACTTTAACATACAAGTTTGATTATGATGATGTCAGAATATTATTCTGAATGCTCAGTTTAACTCTTTATTAGTTTTTTAAAAAGGACTATATTTGATCTGTATTGTTGAAATAAACATGGCTTAGTTTAAAGGCTGGTTTTTTGTGTATTAGTTTGGTTGTAGTCAATCCTCACCCAAGGGTATTTTTCCATTGACTTTTTAGAGAGAGTGTAAGGGAGAAGGAGAGACAGACAGAGAGAAACATTGATTGGTTGTCTCCCACATGCGCCCCGACCAGGACTGGAGATCAAGTCTGCAACTGAGGTACATCCCCTTGACTGGAATCGAACCTGGGACCCTTCAGTCCGCAGGCCAATGCTCTATCCACTGAGCCAAACTGGCTAGGCCTAGAGTCTGTTTTTGTGTATGAACATTTCAGCGTAGGTAACTGCAGTCTTATTTTTAGTTCTTTTTTTTCTTTTTTTCTTTTTTGAAGAGAGGAAGGGAGAGGGAGAGAGAGATAGAAACATCAATGATGAGAGAATCATTGATTGGCTGCCTCCTGCATGCTCCACACTGGGGATTGAGCCCTGACCGGGAATTGAACTGTGACCTCCTAGTTCATAGGTCAAGACTCAACCACTGAGCCATGCCGGCCAGGCTTATTCTTAGTTATTTAAAAAATGACAAAAATTAGTTTAAAAATTATTAAATTGATAGTAAATAATTTTGACAGAATTTAAGCCAATGTGTCTTTTTTCATCTTTTTCTCTCCATAGGACTTTTTACCTTAATCCTTGCTGCAGTATTTCCAAGTAACAGTGGAGATAGATTTACTCTTTCTAAATTATTAGCTGTAATTTTAAGGTAAGAATGTAGTGTAATAGCTTATTTATTCTGTTTAAAAATATGATGTATAAAATTTTTCTGGTTGTGAGAGAGGACAATTTATGTTACAGTGTACTGTATAAGCAAAGAAAGATGAGGATAGTAGAAAGTTTTAAATGGAAATTATGCTACTCAGCTGTGTGTCTTATCCTAGACTAGTTTTCTAAACCTCCCTGGGGAGGGTAACCTGAGGGAAGGACCTAAGGCAGGGGTGGGCAACCTTTTTGTGAGTGCATGCCAAAACCAGCAAAATCTCTGATTCAAAATTCTTCTGCGTGCCAACCCTAATTTTTTGAGAACATGTTAAACCTACTTGATATCTCTTAAGGTGTATGCATGTGAAGAACCTTGAAGAAATAATAAAATTCATTCGAGCGACAAAAACACAGTATATGATGATGAAAAATACATTTATTTTTTAATGTATACATGTACACTGATAGTCCAACAGAAAACTTTATGACTCTGTTTGATATTATTAGTGGGACTTTTGCTGCTGCATCACTGATGACAGAGATTTTACATCAGGTTTATATTTCATGACCTTCAGAGATATGCACGAGCTACTACTTTCATCCGTCAGGCTACTCCTATTATGAGACTTAACAAAATTCATCACTGAGAACAAAGATTCACAAGCGTATGTGGATGAAACCAAAACACTGGTCGGATCTAGGAAGGCAGGGAGAGTTAAGGCAGAGGCATAGAAATTGCTCTTCCCCTTGCTCATCAATCCATGTCTATGGTCTTTAAGATAACTGGTTATGTAAAATTATTTATTTATCTAAGATGCACCTACACTGAATTTATCTGAAAAATGAAAAAGTCGATATTAAGAAAAAAATTGTAAATGGAAGATTATAAGAGATGGTTTCGCGTGCCAGCAAAAGTTACTGGCGTGCCATGTTTGGCACGCGTGCCAGGGGTTACCCACCCCTGACCTAAGGCATGTTGGTTGCCATTCATGTGACTGCGAACTAAGTATTGTACTGATGTTCACATTTAAGTTAATGTGACAACTTAATGCTTATAATCTTCCAAATTTCCATTTTCTTAAAACAAGTTCCCCTTTTTGTTTGGGTTTTGGTCTTTATTTCTCCCACTTCTAGAAATCTAACATGCAATCTTCTCTGATTGCCTCAGCCTCAATCTTTCATTTATTTTTTTATTTGGCATTTTTATATTATTGGGTAGCATCAGTATTGTCAATAACTGTGTTTTAATCTTTTATTTTTATTTAACTTTGTGTATGTTTGTCTTGTCTTCCTTATGAGGTTGTAAGCCCTTGAAGGTTAAAACCTTTGTGCCATCAAAGGCCTAGATAGGGCTTTGCTCACTGACAGTACTCAAAAAAGATGTGTTGATTTGATTAAGCTATTGTTTTTGTGAGAGAAAATGAAAAATCAGAGAAAGTAGCAGAATGATTTAATGGAGAGATTGCTATTAGCTATCAGAGTTAGGTTTGAATCACAGCTCTGCTCTGTGTCCCTGGGCACTTCCCTTAGACTCTGGAAGAACTTCCTAGATCTCAGCTATGTGATTTTGGTCAATACTTCCTTTCTTTGTGCTTAGTTTTCTCATGTGTAAAATGGGAATGGTAATAACAATAACGCCTTCCTATAAGGTAATACTGTACATTTTGTGTGGATTAAATTAGCTAATACTATAGCTCTTATACTAGATATTGCCCTGACTGCTGGCTCATTTGGTTAGAGCATTGTCCTGTAGACCAAAAGGTTGTGAGTTCAGTTCCTGGTCAGGACACATTGTCTAGGTTGCAGGTTTGGTCCCTGGGAGGCACTCCATCTATGTTTCCTTCTCACATCAATGTTTCTCTCTCTCAAATCAATAAATATATCCTCGGGTGAGAATTTAAAAAATTGTTTGATATTAATTAAATCACGAATTATTTGACAGTTTTACCCCAAAATTAGTCTTGATCATTTATAAATAATTTTCATCTTTATGCTTAGTCCTTTTAAGGGATTTATTATTTTGCTCATCAGTAACAACTGTTATTCTCATAGCATTGGAGGTGTTGTGCTGGTAAACCTGTCGGGGTCTGAAAAATCTGCTGGAAGAAATACGATAGGTAAGTTTCTGTTAGAGTATACGAGAAAATTTTGTGCATAACATCATCATGCCCACACAGAGGATGGGAACTAACCGGGGCTTTTTTAAAAAAACTTTTTTTTAGAGATAATGTTAAAAACATTCAAAAATACTTCATAGAATTCTCATGTAGCCTGCATCCAGATTCTCTGTTAACTACGTTCATAGATAGCTACAAAATATAGTTCTAAAAATCAGGAGTTAACATTGATTAGAATTATATTATCTAATCTGTATAGTCCTTTTCCAGCTTCACCATTTTTTCACTAATGTTCTTTTTCTGATCCAGGATCACTTGTTGCATTTACTTGTCATGTCTCTTTTGTTTCCTTCAATCAGTCTTCTTTTTGTCTTTCGTAACCTTAACACTTTTGAAGGTTACTGTCCTTTGGTTTTGTAGAATGTCCCTCAATTTGCGTTTGTTTGATATTTCCATGTGGTTAAATTTATGTTGTACCTTTTTGGAAAGAATACCATGGAAGTGGTATTATGTTCTGATCAGGATATTATATCAGAAGACACATGCTGTTGATGTGATTAATGATGTTAATCTTAAGGTGGTGTCTGCCAGTTTTTTCCCTTGCTTTTGATTCATTATTTAGATTTACAAAACAAAGTTAATCAGAACCCAGCCTAATGGTTCTCCTCTGGGTACTGTAGATATTTGAAGTTTATTGAATAGAGTAATATTTCTAAACTATTTCTGGATACTATCCAGTGAGTTGTGTCTTGAATTGTACCTTTTTCCCATCCAAAATAGTTTTGTAGGAGAAACAATATATGTATTTGTTGTGTGTGTGAGATTTTGTTGACAGGCTTTCCCATTGCTATTAAAAAAAGTTGATAATAAGCAGATTTAATAAAACATTGGACTTTTGGATAATTGATTAAAGTATTGAATATGGTCACTTGGCAGATAGCATATTATTTAGCTATTTTTAAAGTTTTACTTACATGTTTTGAGAATGAGTTACTACATTAAAGTGGATCAATATTTATTATGTATATACAGTGAGCCCTGCATTATGGTAGGTATTTTGGGACAGTAAAAAGTATAAATTAAGTGTTTGCAGTTTTCAAGGAATTCTTGATTGTAATCAGTAGCTAAGATTTGCAAAGTGAAGCCACTAGAGAATGAAATTATATCACATTTAACTATAGTAAGCATTAAATTGCCCTAAGTAGAAGACAGGTAGGATGGAAATTCACCAGAGGAGAGAGGATGCTTTATGGCAGAGATAGGACTTTAACAGGGCCTTAAAGATGGTAGTGGAATATATATTAAAAATGACACATGTGCCCTACCCATTTTGGCTCAGGGGATAGAACATTGGCCTGTGGACTGAAGGGTTCTGGATTCGATTCTGGTCAAAGGCACATATCTTGGTTGCAGGCTGGAATCCCATTTCTAGTCGGAGTGCGTGCGGGAGGCAACCGATCGATGTGTCTCTCTCACATCAATGTTTCTCTCTGTCACTCCCCCCTCCCTTCCACTCTCCTAAAAAGCAATGGAAAAATATCCTCTGGTGAGGATTAACAGAAAGAATAAAAATAAAAGTGACAAGTGATAGGGGAAGAAGCATTGCTAAAGTTGGACCGTGTCAGGTGGCAAAATTGTTTATGGAGGGGAAATAGAAAGTGTGCATTTCAAAATTTAAAAAGTGTTACTTATATGAATTTCAGTATAATAATATGTGTGTTTGGTTAGATCGTTGAGGTGAATGTTTTGCATTTATTTGTTTACACTTTAAACTCTTTCCTATACTCCTGGAGGATAAAGATAGGGTGGGCTGTACTTTATCTTTTCACATTTGCACACTCATTTCTTGAAATAGGATCCAACACATTGTTAGATTTTAAATAAGTGTGTGTTGAATGAGTTAATGAACAAATGCTTTAAATCATTATGTGGATCTTTACAGGTTCCATTTGGTCTCTTGCTGGAGCCATGCTCTATGCTGTCTATATTGTTATGATTAAGAGAAAAGTAGACAGAGAAGATAAGTTGGATATTCCGATGTTCTTTGGTAAGAATATGTTTAATTTGTGAGGCAATTTACTCTGAATTATCACTTTAGGGAAGAATAGGAAGGTATGTAGGCCAAATTCTGGGGGGTCTGGAGGTCTATCAGATTTTAAAGATTATGAAGTCCAATTTCAATGTTTTTCTCTTACCTTGTCCTGCATAGTTGTGTACCTATGGGGTATTGCTCCTTTCCTCAAAGTGAGGTAAAGAAAAAAATTCTTTTTAACGCCTTTAAAAAAAATAGTCGTAGTAAACATTCATTGAGTATGTACCAAGTAACAAGCATTATTCTAAGCCCCTATGCATATTAGCTCTTTAATTCTCTGAACAACCCTATGAGAGTATTACCCCCCCTGACAGGTTTTGCATTAATGTCTTTAGCCTATGAATCAGATAGTTTTCTCATTGATATGACAGAATCATCTCTCTATATAAAAGCCTAATATGCTAAGTGTCGACCATTTGACTGGTCGCTATGATGAGCACTGACCAGCAGGGGGCAGATGCTCCGATTGGTAGGTTAGCTTGCTGCTGGGGTCCGGCCGATCAGGACTGGGCGAGACGGGGCCGGACGCCCTGGAGCCCTCTCACAGTCCCTCCCTGGCCGGCCAACCTCCCTCGGGTATTGGGCAAGATGGCCCAGATTGGCCCCACCCGTGCATGAATTCATGCACCAGGCCTCTAGTGCTATTATAAGCAAGTGAGAGTATACTTGTTGTATTATACATATTGCCATTTTTGAGTTATTGGAAGCATAGGATTGGGGAAACTGGCCCCAAAAGATATGTATAATACTGTTCTGGTCTATGTACTTATTTTCATTAAAAATTGTGGGCCATTTAAGGTTTTTCTATTTTGCATTTTATCTTTAAGAGTCGGACTCTTTTATGACATATATTTTTCAAATTACCCAATGATAGTTTCTGGCATCTGCTTTTAATTTTGGGAAATAAAATACCTGATATGATTTATAAATTATCTTTTGTCAAAAATCAGCTCAGTAAAAACTTGTGTTACCTGTAGACTATCTGTGGATATCTTTCAAAAGATACCGTAAAACCAGTAGATAAAGAAGCCTGGTGATGAGGGTTCAAAGTACAGCTTACAGGGAATCAGGAGACCTGGAATATATAGCTGTTATAACTTCATTTATCTCATGCTTATCTGAAAAATGAGGAAATTGGACTGATGGGTAGCTTCCAAGCTGATTTACAAAGGATCTTGGGAAGGTTGGTAGGCCGTAGAGTTGTATGTGGGGTCTGTTTCAGCTGGAACAGCATTGCTTTGTTAGGCTTATTGCATTATCATTTAAGTTGTAGAACAGATGTTGATGCTAAAAGCAGTTTGAATATCGTTACCTAAAGATTGACAAAAATAAAAGGCTTGAAAAGCCACCAAACTGAGTGATCACTCAAGTTCCTTTTAAATATAGAATTCAATAAATATACCTTAAATATGAAGATCATTTTAGTCATCTTATTTTAGAGCTATAGAAAATTCTATCTGTAATGGCGTAAAATGCTATTTTTTTTTTTTAAGATTGGCAGTTTTCAAGAAACATTGCTTAATTTAATAGAATACGCATAGACATGTAACTTGATTGGTCTTCTTCATATGTGATGTGATACGGAAAATATTGATTTGACCTGAGTTTTAGAATAGATGGGCTTATAAAAGAAGTTATGGGTGGAATGTGGAGGGTGCCTTAGGCATAGGGAAGTGAGAGCATGGCAGGGAACAGTGAGTAGATCTGTGTGATTGTGCTGAAGCCTTCACTTTAGGTAGAATGGTAAGGTATGTAGGCCAAATTCTTGAGGGTCTGGAGAATAGAGGAAATGATTTGTAGGTCCAGACATTGTTAATTGATGTGGGATTTCATAGACTTGATAGTTCAGGGACCAGAAAATAGATTTGGTTCTTGATAATACCAAATTTTGGCATTTTAATGACAACTTTTTAATGTTATGCAAGCCTCTTGGATCACTAGTCCCTTCTGTATGTGTATCGTTTTATTTTATTTTTTATCACTAGATGTCTTAAATTGAGTTTCCTAGATGCAAAGTAGGAGACAGGGCTTTAGTGTGGGTTATTTATTGAGGGGGTCCTCTGCAGGAAGAACTGGCAAGGGAGTGAGAGAAGCAGAATGGAGAAGCAGGTGTGGGAGGCAGCGGGTAATGTCTAGGCACTCTTTGGAGATGTCCTGGCCTTGAGCCATTAGAATTTCAGCCACAGGGGTCGGCCTTGTGAGTGAGTGCAGTCATTGGCTGCAAAGGGTGTAGTGTAGGCAGGGATGGGAATTTCCTGGGAAAAGCAGACTTGTTTAATGTCCAAGACAGTTCTGTAGAGAAGACAGAAAGAAGGCTGTAAGATTTTAGCATCGGGTGCTCCAGTCTTGTTTCTATTTAACTGGGCAGCCTAAGTTCTAGTTTATTGTTTAGCAGCCAATCTAAAATATGTATCTACTGTAATTTAACTTTTTAAATGAAAGCTCTTATTGTTACCTCATGGATTTCATAGTGGATCCTTGATGCTAAGCTGTATAGAAAGTGCAATAAAAATTATAATAATTTTTCTTTGTAGTCATTACTATATACTATTTGCATGTATATAGTCATATGTAAACTTTAATTTTTATAATAATAGCTAGCCTTTATTAACTGTTTACTCTTTGCTAGGTACTGTGCTATATTTTATGTTTTATCTAATCTTTCCAATAACCTAAGTAAATATTGCTTTACACTTACAGACTAGAAAACAGGCTTAAAAGAGGTTCTGCTCTTGCCTCAGGTTTACACCACTAGTGAATAGTAGAGTTGGGATCAAAACCCAGGGCAATCAGACTGCTCATACTCTAACCATGGAGCGTTGCAGCCTTCCTTATAAGTAGTCTGTGCTCATATATTGAATAGGTATTTGCATATATGTGTTATCACACCAACTAGCTGATGAGCTTTAGGAAGACAGGAACCAAGAATTTTATCCTTTTTTGGACCCTTCTTCCATTATTCCTAGTATAGCACAGGAGCTTTAAATATAACTATGAGTTGAATTAGAGAACAAACCGTGCATTTCCTTATACTTAATTTAGGGTAAATATACAAACACACACCAGTTACTCTTTTAACTTCCAAGATAATACAGGGTAGGGCAAAGGTAGGTTTACATTTGCTTGTATGGAAACCAATAAGTAGTACTACAAGAATAAGCAAGAATAAGCTCTGTTTTGCATACTCATGACTGAAAACCTACTTTTGCCTCACGCTGTAATTATTAGTAGCTAAAGTTAACCCTTCTTTTTGAATTGTTTTAAGTGGTTTATTCTGTAGAAGTTGGTCCATGCACTGTGGGCATTTGAACCTTGAAGACTCAGTGGTCACCAGTTGCTTGATACAGTTTTTCCTGGTGTTGAGTTATCCACAGGACTGGCTTAAAAACAAAGAAACAAGTTCCAGTTAAGGAAATCTATTGGAGTCCTTTGTATAAGATCAGTTTTATAAGTTAGAGTTATAAGTTTGGAAAATTTAAATAAATCAGAGAAACTAACATTTGTCTCTTTACACATGTTTAGGTTTTGTAGGACTGTTTAATCTGCTGCTCTTATGGCCAGGTTTCTTTTTACTTCATTATACTGGATTTGAGGACTTTGAATTTCCCAATAAAGTAGTATTAATGTGCATTATCATTAATGGCCTTATTGGAACAGTTCTCTCAGAGTTCCTGTGGTTGTGGTATGTACTGTTTATTACCTCTGATTTATTAGTTATCAGTTTATGGACTTTTGGATAGTTTAAGCATTTATGTTTTTTTTGGTCTTCTGATGGCCCTTGCTGTGCACCTTCTCACCTCACACTTAACAATTTAATACAGTAACTCCATTATAGTGGGAGCTTTGTGTTTTGTTATTTTTTAAATTTCTAATTATCCATCATATAGAGTAATGTTTTTCACATAAAAGGAGCTCAGTAAATATTGAATGAACGAATATGAATGACCTAAATTTGTAGTGTTTTTTGAAGAAGTGTTATACAAATGAAAAGTGGCATCTAATGTTCATCCTAACTTACAAGATGTATTTCCTACATATTAATGACATGAGTTCTTAGTGAGACTCTGAGGATTTTGCTTGTCAAAGAGCCTTTGCTTATTTTAGAGACTTTGTCTCTTTTGTTTATTCTCAGGAGTTTTCATGTGGGTGAGTCACATATGTAAGCCCTAAACTCTGATTAGACATGTTAACATACTTTGAAATGTTATAATATCAAATATGTTGATATTTAATAATAATCCTAAAATAGTTGGAAGACAATATCATGTATGGAGTTTAAGAAACCTTTCAAATATAGAGCTTGATACTTAGTCCTACTTCCACCTAATAAGAACTGAAAAAGAAACACAAATTGTACTTAAACTACTAAATGAATTTTTATTGTATGGCATTTAAGATTGCTGATTAGATTCCCTTGAAAAAGGCTGCGACAAAAATAGCCTTTAGTAAGAAGTCTTTCTTTATGCTCTGCCTATACTTCTTCCTCTTCCCTAGATAAGGGAATAGCTCTTACTTTCTTGATATCCTCAGCACTCACTCTCTTTCATGTAGTACTTAAAGATTTGCTTTGTATTGTAGTAATTTATGTACCCATCTTAAATTTCTTTGCTAATCTAAAACTCTTATCTCAGAATCCACTTACTCATTTATTTTCCCATCTTTTTTTACATGGATTTTATAGGCTCACTTTTTTTAACCTGAAATAGTTACATACTTTATCTTATACATTAATATATATCATATCCCTCTTGTTATCTTATCACTTCTTTTGTTCTATCATTTCTCTTGTCTCTCTTCACTCTTGGTTCTGAGCAAATAAAACTATTTACTGGTTGTGTTTTGATTTAACTTAGTAGGATCATAAATAATTGTTGATCTTCAGCCATTTTTGACTGCTGTTTCATATGGTTCAACCCAATGAACCATATGCTTTAAATAATTATGTATTCATTGTATTTTAATACAAGTTCATATTTTCTGGTTTCGTAAGTTTAGTTTAAATTGGGAAATTCCAAAGCAGAGCATTTTTACATATCTGAAAGAAATAATTAAGTTTTTCGATATGAGACTAAATAAAGGTTTAGTTCGGTCCTTATTACTTGATTATTACATTGAGACTCATAGTAAACATGGACTGTGCCACCTATCGATATTAAAATGCTCATTCGTTATTGAACACTTTATTTTAGATAATAAACATATGCAAAAGATTTTCATTATGTTTAGCAGAATTTAATGTAGGCTTTGGGGACAATAAAATATGAGTTGTGATATGTAATCTTTCCATTATGGGAGATTTTATAGTTTGCTTCCTTGGAAAATTTTATATTTAAAGAAATAATAAATAGCATGTTTTACAATATTCTTTTTTATTTAACTTTTAAAAATTAAAAGAGTGTACAAAAGGGTTCACAATCAAAAGGAAATCTCCCTTCAACCCCAAATACCTATTCCTTTTTCTCAAAGGCAACCACTATTAACATCTAAACCTTCTATAATATTTTCTATACATACAAAATTATGTTTCATTCTCTTAATTTTCCCCTCAATTTGTTTTATTTTCAACACACAACTGGGAGCATACTGTGGATATTGTTCACAAACTGTCTTTCAATCTTCACATAACAGCACTTAGGTTCATTTTTTTAAAGGCTGTATTTTAAAATACTTTATTCCAATCCATTTTGTTATGTAATGGATAGAACATGTCTTACCAGTTCCTTATGGAGAGACATTTTCAGTTTGTAGTCTTTTGCTTTGTGAATAATACAGCATTGAATATTTTTATATGTATCTTTGCATATATATGTTAGCATTCTATAGGATAAATGCCTCTAAGTGGAAAAGACTGAGGCAGACATATAGACTTTAAATTTTGATACAGAATTGCAAAATCATTCTTCATAGAGGGAACACAATTTCTATCCCCTATGTGTATTTGTGAGTGTTTATTATTGAATAGTTAAACTGGACACTGAAATTCATATATTATGATTAAAGCTATATTTATCCTTACCTAGGATGGATTTTTCAGGACCTCAAGGTTTATTTTTCAGATACACCTCTATATTCAAATGTTTATGAGTACTTACAGTAAAAACTCAGTAGCAGTAAAGTGAATAAGTAATGAAACAAACATATCCCTAAATTCTAGGTGTTGGTAACTCAAAATAACCATAACAAGCCTATCAGACTTTTTATGATTGTACTTAGCATTATAAATCTCTAAGAACATATGCTACATAAAAAATATATACATTTAATCCCTGAACCCTCATTTCATAGAGCAGCTTATGAGTAGTGGAAACCACTAGTACTTGAGTTCTCTTTATTGCAGCAGTAAGAACGAATTGTCCAGCCTCTGTTGAATATTTCAAATGACACTTTCAAGAGATAGCCTCTGTTATAACAAGACAGCATTATAAATTCTAACCTATACTGAGCTAGAACTTGCTTGCCTGTAATTTCCATGGGTCTATAGTCCTAATGATATACATTATGGTTTTATCTTGGCCTATAATTCATTATCTTCTTATATACCCATATTTTTAGTTGTTATAAATGGCTCGCCTATTTGGTATAATGGTTTCTTTTTTTCTTCAACTAAACAAAATTATATGCAAATTGATATTTTAGAATTTGATACCAATATTGATAGTTTAAGGTAAAAATAAAATAATTGATAGTTCAAGGTGAAAATAATACAGGTTTTGGTTAGGACAATTGCTAGACAAGTGGGAAACAGCAAGGAAATAGTCCTTTAAAAATATTCAGTTTTTTTTTCTTTTTAATGCTGAACCAAACCAGAAGAGCAGTACACATCTAAAGACTTAGTTCTCATGCGTCTGTCATTTGTTTGATGACAGACGCACATGTTGGCTTATCACTTTCTTAAAGTCTGTGTTGTGAGGTATTACAGTTTTAATAAAGCTGCCTGCTTTGTTAGCTAAGTATCATTATCACAACTCTTTTTAAAATATATATATATTTTTATTGATTTCAGAGAGGAACGGAGAGGGAGAGAGGGATAGAAACATCAATGATGAAAGAGAATCATTGATTGTCTGCCTCCTGCACATCCCCCACTGGGGATTGAGCCCACAACCCAGGCATGTGCCCTGACCAGGAATTGAACTGTGACCGTAGGTCAATGCTCAACCACTGAGCCACACCAGTCGGACTATCACAACTCTTTTGACAGTTTTGTAAAAAATGTTAAGGAAATTTAAGTTATGCATTTAAACTTGAACACTGTCTGTAAGCAGATCTTGAAAATAGCATAAAATACCTCAAAATATTTATACTTACATATTTGGATTTTTAATATTTGAGGATAAACCTTAGGAATTATCTTAGTAACTCTGTTATTTATTATGTCTCAGTCCATCCTGAGCTTTCATTTTTGCTTTTGATCTCTCACATCTATATTTTAGGGTAGGTAGACATTGATCATTGTTTTTCTTTGGTCCTTTTACTTTTTTAATATGGAAATGTATGTTTTGTTTTTTCCTTTTTAGGGGCTGCTTTCTTACCTCATCATTGATAGGCACACTTGCACTAAGCCTTACAATACCTCTGTCAATAATAGCTGACATGTGTATGCAAAAGGTAAGACAAGCTATTTATTACATATTTTATGTATATTATTAAACACAGAGCTAATGAAGTTTTAGGGATGTGACTGAATTATAAGGGATACAACCATGAAAAATACTTGATGCCTTCTCTCCCAAGGTGCTTTACTACATAGAGATGTAAAAAGTACCCAAAGAGCCCAAGCCGGTTTGGCTCAGTGGATAGAGAGTTGACCTCCTGGGTTTGATTCCAGTGAAGGGCATGTACTTCAGTTGCAGGCTCCTCCCCCGCCGGGGCCTTGATCTGGGCTCCTGTAGGAGGCAACCAATCACTGTTTTTCTCTCACATCGATGTTTCTCAGTGTCTTTCCCTCTCTCTTCCACTTTCTTAAAAAAAAAAAAAATTAATGTAAAAATATCCTCAGGTGAGAATTAAAAAAAAAAATGCTGAAAGAAATGGATAATATCTTGAATTTTTAGCTTTTCAATTTTTTATCTTAAGAGTAGTATCTTTATATGTAGCTTTCCATCTCAGAGTAGATATATTCCATATGCTCTTTGTTAAGTCATCATTTAAGTAGTAGTGTTTTGATTTCTAAGATAAAATCCTTAATACTGCTAATACTACTATAAATCTGTGAGGTATATGAGCAGTGTTGCTTCTCAGCAAATGTTCATTTCTTTCTGAACTCAGCAGGGCAGGGGCCTCCTCCCTCTTCTATGAAGTCCTGGTCTGGATACGGGAATCTTGTGATAAATATTGGCAGTATTGCAGAAAAGAGAATCTGCGTCTCTCCCAACAGCCTGAAGGGAGGAGTTTCTTTAGTGCTCCTAAGGGTTAACAAGGAGAAAAGAGATGTGCCATTGGCTAATGCTAAAAGATGTAATGTAGCATGGACCGCTCAGTTCAGTATTTGTAAGCTTTTAAGTAACAAAATGGTGTGTGTGCGTGGGTGTGGGTGTGGGGGGGGGGGTGGTTTGGGGGGGAGGGTGTTGGTTTAATATAATTGGAAGAGGAAATACTTGAAAGCCCAAAGGCATAATGTGAAGAACTTATAATCAGATTTTGAAAGCTAATTTTCTTTAGATCTTTTTGCACTTTTTAGGATAAAGTCAAAATACTCTTAATGATATCTATCTTCTTTATTTAAAAAAAAAACTATACTGATATTTAACATGGTTTTGTGGTTTAGTAAATTCTTTTTTTTTTTTAAATATATTTTATTGATTTTTTACAGAGAGGAAGGGAGAGAGATAGTTAGAAACATCGATGAGAGAGAAACATCGATCAGCTGCCTCCTGCACATCTCCCACTGGGGATGTGCCCGCAACCCAGGTACATGCCCTTGACCGGAATCGAACCTGGGACCCTTCAGTCCGCAGGCCGACGCTCTATCCACTGAGCCAAACCGGTTTCAGCGGTTTAGTAAATTCTTACTTGTCATGGTTAAAAATGGAAATCTCCTTAATTGAGAATTAATTATCTTACATAGCATGCATTTTCAAAGAATGTCAAAATTATAAAATATATATAATACTAAAATTACACATATTAGATTCTCTTTATAGATTTAAATAATATCCAGGTCCTTTACATCTCAGGGTCATAATCTTGAATATGAACCAAAATTGTTACAGTGAAATTGGGGAAGTAAGGATTTTGGTAGACCACTGTGCAATTGAACTTTAATGTTCCGATATTTTGAAAACATCAGCTTTTGTACATTTGAAAAATAAAATTGAAGGTTAATTTTAGGGAATTTAAAAAAAAGAAATGTCACAAGGGATCTCATTTTATTAAATGATTTTATAATTTGTTTAACCAAATACTTTAAGATGACGGTAAAACAAGAGAAAATGTGTGTGTGTGTGTGTGTGTGTGTGTGTGTGTATGTGTGTACACGTACGTGTATATATACTAGAGCAGCGGTTCTCAACCTGTGGGTCGTGACCCCTTTGGGGGTTGAACGACCCTTTCACAGGGGTTGCCTAAATACATCCTGCATATCAGATATTTACATTACGATTCATAACAGTAGCAAAATTACAGTTATGAAGTAGCAACAAAAATAATTTTATGGTTGGAGGTCACCACAACATGAGGAACTATATTAAAGGGTCGCGGTATTAGGAAGGTTGAGAATCACTGTACTAGAGGCCTGGTGCATGAAATTCATGCACTGGGGGGTGTGTCCCTCAGCCCGGCCTGCCGCCCTCTCACAGTCTGAGACCCCTTGGGGGATGTTCACCTACCGGCTTAGGTCCAACCCTCCCCACCCCCGACAGAACTGTAATAACATCACAACTAGACCATAACATACTTTTTAAAAATTTGAGCTGACAGTCAGACATTGCTCTCGCAGTCCAGGACCCCTCACTCCTTACCGACCCCTGCAGCGGAGGTGGGAGAGGCTCCCACCACGACCTCTGCGCTCGCCAGCTGTGAGTCCAGCTTCTAGCTGAGCAGCGCTCCCCCTGTGGGAGTGCACTGACCACCAGGGGGCAGCTCCCGCATTGAGTGTCTGTCCCCTGGTGGTCATTGTGTATCATAGCAACTGGTCATTCTGGTCGTTTGGCCTTAACGGTCACTTAGGCTTTTATTATACAGATATGTCATTGATTAGAAAAACATATCCAAGTGGTCTTTTCTGGATTGTCTTCACATATATTATTAGGCAACCATTTAAATGAATAGGCTGAGTCTTTGGTGGAAATTGAAGGTTGGGAGATGCCTTCTGGAAAAAGTCACAGGATAGGCCCCAGAGTTATACTAGAAAAGCATGATGGGAGAAATGTACGTGCATGGGAATTTTTGATTCTATTAGCCAGTCATGTTTATATATACTTTCTGAAATTTTAGCATTTATTAACAATATTTGTGCTTAAAAATATTATTTGAACTTATTTATAATTGACATGTTGTATAATAGGAACTATATCTGATTACTAGTATACTTAGATTTATTTTCAGATATATTTAGGAATTATACATTTTTTATATGGGCAATTTTCTTTGTTAATAGGTGTCTTCATTTTTAAAAATTATCTTCTTAGCTTCTTGGAAATCCAGTAGTAAGTTTTATAGTGTGTGGCAACATGCACCTGCATTGTTAAAAGTGAACTTTCCTTTAAAAGTCATTTAGGGTTTTACCTACCTTTATAAAGTTTGCTTTAATTCAGTTATAGGGTTTTTAGTTGAATATTCATGAAATCATTCTATCAACTAGATCTACATTTTAGCTCTCATTATTCATAAGTTTTTCTGGTCGTGAGTCATTTAAGTGCATTGTGGCTTTTCTAGATTAGAAAATGTTCTAAGATTTTGTTATACCAATAATTTGATAACAGCATGAAGGCTTTTTATTTTCTCTGACTGATCTTCCCTGGCATTCTTAGGCTGACTCAGCCTGTGGGTTGTACCGTGCACTCAGGATGTGCATGTTAAATTGTCAGTTATTGTTCATGTGTTATACATTGTGAGTCCCTCATAAAAAACATCATTCTCACAAAACCCCTTTGCTCTGTCTAATGGTGGTATGAAGTGAAATAGTATATGTTTCCCACCAGAGGGAGTTCTTAGTTGAATCTAGGTGGTAAAGGTAAACTGAAAGAGAAGAATGATTTTTTTTTTTGTAACTTTATGGCATCTCATTATTTTTAAATTTCTTGACAACCCTCATAAAATGATGGGTTGGAGGGTCTGACTTGATGGCTGAGGGCTCTGCACCACTGAGGCTTAGCTTGCTGCTCGTCTTCTCTGGCTCACATTTGTCACATTCCTGTTCGTAGTCTTTATTTTACTTTTGAAATGTTTTTGTTACTAGATGATCAAGCTCATTTTAAGCATCAGGATTAAAATTTGTTGCCAATTGTTAATAAAAGGTTTATAGAAGTTGAAGTTAAGAGTTTAATCTGTTTTTAATACTGTCTTAAGAACTGTAACAACACAACATATCACAACTAGACCATAACATACTTTTTTAAAATTTGAGTTTTTAAGATGACTTCAGAAACTGAAGGGCAGGATCAACTTGAGATAAATAGTAATCAGTGAAGGGGAAATGGGCAACGTGATCCGTAAGACAAAAGCTTAGAGTTTCATAATTCTGTTCTCAGCCATACTGTGCCTAATAAGTGAAAAGCATGCCTTTCTGGCTTTCCTTTAGGCTGTTTCCCAAGTGAGAAATATTTTTGTTGGTAATTTAAGCAAGTGGTTAAGATGTTGAAGTCCTGAGTCCTTTTTAATAATAATATACTTACTAATGTATTGTCAGTACTTAGTATTACTAGTATTTTCTTGGCTTGTTAACTTATTCCCGTAACTTTTCATAAATGGGAAACTTACATTAAAGGGGAAAATCGTCTTCATAATAATGATTGTGTTTTTTTTCTACCTTTTATTTTTAGGTGCAGTTTTCTTGGTTATTTTTTGCAGGCGCTATTCCTGTATTTTTTTCATTTTTTATTGTAACTCTCCTATGCCATTATAATAATTGGGATCCTGTGATGGTGGGAATCAGAAGAATTTTTGCCTTTATATGCAGAAAACATCGAATTCAGAGGTAGATTCAGCTACAATATAATTTTTAAACAAATAATGTTTGCTAAATAAAATGGGAATCATATCATGCTGGCCTAAATTTTAGAGATTTTGTGAATTATTGAAAGATTATAATTATATATGTACTATGCCAGGCAAAATTAAAATAATTTGTTCAGATCCTTAGGTTATAAGATAGTTTCTTCACAACTACTTTTAAAAAATGTTTTGATTTACAGGTAAAACTAAAGTTCTTACTGTTTTGCTATAACACATTTAAATGTAGAGAACTCTTACTGGTTTTAATAAAATATGATAACATTGCCTCAAGATTTTTTCAATTTTTTTAAACAGAGAAAGCTTTCATATTCTATTATAGAAAGAACTTGAGACAAGTTGTTGAGAAATTTTGCCCTAGTCTTAGTTCTGACCACACAGCTTCAGCCATCTGTATGGATCATTTTTAAGGGTTCCTTTTAGCTCTAAAGCTTTCCTTAACTGTTGCCTTTTTTTTAAGGGTTTCAGAAGACAGTGAACAGTGTGAGAGTCTTATTCCTATGCACAGTGTTGCTCAGGAGGATGGAGCTAGCTAGCTGTTGTCAGTCGTCCAGGTTTGTATGTTAGCTGGTCTTAGTGTTGACTAATTCTAATTCTTGTATTGCTTATATACAAAATTGAATTTCCGTAATTAGTTGTTTGAGAGGCTATACAACCAAGAGGCTAATGGAGTCAAACTGCCTGGGTTTCATTTCCAGCTTCACCATGTAATAGCTCTGTGACCTTAAACAAGGTTCCTAACCTCTCTGTGCCTCAGTTTTCTTATTTGTGGAAATGGGGTTATAATAGAAATTCCCTCATTATTAAGGGAGTATTAAACATAAGTTTAAACTTCATAAGTTTAAAGTACATACAATATTAGTGCCTGACTCAAACTAAGTGATTCCAAGTTTTAACTATTACTTTTATTCGTATCCACCATCATCATTTTACTTATGATCTACTTTAGAAACATGTTTTTTCTCTAAGTATAACATTCAGAAAAAATGCAATACTTGGATATGTATTCAGTCTTTTCGTTATGCATGTGTTACTATAACTGGCCCAGTATATATCCTGATTCTCTGACTGCTTTTTCATTTAACGATGTTTGAAGAACATTTCCCCAGTTTTTAAAAATTTTAAGAAATATTATCTTTTATATTTCTTATATGAATGAAAAAGTACATTACATTTTATATTTTGCTGAATGAATGTTTAAAATATATCTGACATATGTCTTTGTCAGGTACAAAAGTGATTATTTATTTAGAATGAGAGATCATAATAAGTTACTGAAATTCTGGGCATGCAGGCTTTTTTTTTTCTGAGATAACTTTAGGCAGCTGAGATTGAAATGTGTCCTAATTGCAACTGGGGGTTCCCCTCCTCACATAGAACATCGAGAAACTCTTGTCAACTCCTTGTAATCACATGGACCTTGAAACTTAAGTAAATTCCTCATGTTAAATTCATATACAAACTAATTGTCTTGGTTTTGTGTTTTTCTGTGATTGGTCATTTTCCTTTTGTTATGATGGTTATACATGCCCGTAGTTCAAAAGGGTTCGAGTTCTACATGACATCTTATACAAAGGAGCTCTCCCTGCTCTGCACTATCTATCCTGTGTTCACTCTTTTCCCATCTCAGGAATCACTTTAAACTCTTAGTGGAGTCTTTGGTATTTTCCTCCCTGGCGCTCTAAAGTACCATGCCTATACTTCTGTTTCTTGCTTTCTTGGTTTTAGGCATATTCAGTTGATTTTCCCACTATGGTAAATGAGGATGGTTTACTTTCAAGTGCCTCCTTCCTCTGTTCTCACCCCACTTGCCTATTTGCCAACCCTATATAACTCCTTCCTTCTTATCAACCCAGTATCAATAATGCATAATTTTGTGTAGATCTATAGTCAACTTTTACATTGTTATGACTATGCAAATGTTGTTTTTATCTGAGCCATATAGGATTGTGCTTGGCATTTCCCCAATCCAGAGACCCTCTGTTACTACTTTTTCTTTTAGGAATAAGCCTCTTCTGGGAGGCACCAACTGTGAAAAATAAAAGGAGGGCATCTGGTTTTCTAACTGCTTTTTCTATAAAATTTGCACCAGTCTGCTTGTTTTTAGTCGTGTCTTCATTTTAGAGAGATAGCTGGTCAATTTCTCTACTGCTAGCTAAGAGTTAGCCACTATTTTCTTGTCTCTGCTCTTCTCTTTGTCCACATGGTTTATTCCTTTTAAAAAATCCCTTTATTGTCTTTTTACTGAGATTCTTAGGGACAGAGTGGAACTAATATGTGTTTATTTGCTATCTTTAAATTAAAAAAATACACGTAGTTATTCTTTAAAGCTTTTTATTGCTATGACATACATTTTCCCTCCCTAGTATGCTGTGCATTATCCCCGTACTCACACTTAAGTTTCAATATTAATGGAAGTGAGATCTGGATAAAGGGGAGATAGTGAAGACAAAAGAAAATGGGCTACAATAAAGCAATAAAGTAGGACAGGTTGGGCAGGAGTCTGTCCCAATGCGGGTAATGGTGGAATACACCATGATTAAACTTATTACATGATCTTTAAGTAGTGTTGGGTGTCAGCCTTTGACACTGCTATAGAGCTCAATTACATGTGTTCCTAGGACTCACCTCAAGTTCATATATCCAGTTATATATACTAGATAGATTGTGTTTGATGTATATTTCAATGTTAAGATAATTTGCTTTTTAAAATATAAACTATAGAAAATTAAAGCTATGATAGCTGTTATCTAATGATTTTGTGTTTGCTTTTATTTTCAGCTTGACAAATGGAACATTATATAGCGAAGAGACAATCTCTGGCAAGGTTTTGGAGAAAAATGTTTCAGTGCCTAGTCTGAAAAATAACATTTTCAGTTCTTTGGAACTCTAAAATATATTTTCCTCATATTGGTGTTCTTCATTTTCATAATGAAGTTCTTTGCTATATAGCTGTGTACACATCACTACAGTTATAGGAAGTTTCAGTCCACAGTCTGTCTAAAGGACCACCTGCCTTATACATCTCAAGGAATTCAGCTGATGAAATAATCTGAACTAATCAAGGGATAAAATCCTAATGTTTGGAGATTTTATCTTCACCTATTATTTGTTAAATGCTGGACTGTATTATGAAAATGTTTTCAAGAAATTGTTTAGTATGTAGATCAGTGTTTGTATAGGTAAAATGCTAAATTAAGCTGCCTATAATAGGTACAGATTATATTTCTGAGTTTTGTAGAATATTGCAAATTAACACAAAAATGTTTAATTTATGTGACAAGTATATTTACACAAATTTGGTTAGACTTCAGAAAGAATATTTGAGAAAAGATCTGGTTCACTTACACTACATATACTGTGTTATCCTTTCATAGCATTAGGTGCCTTGTATTTTAAATCTGTGACAAACCATGACAAATTTTTAAAGGGGAAATATTGTAAAATGAAGAATCATGTATTTCTAAAGCCTGTATTGCTGTAAATTTAATTGATAAAGCTCTGCTTAATTTAGAGTTTTGAAGAAATATTCTCTCTTCAATTAAGACATTTTCATAATGGAATGACTTAAATTGAAGTGATAAAAGAGTATTATGAAAATAAAGTGTTTATATATATGTGTGTATTATAGATCTATCAGTTGGTTTCTGATTTTTTTTTCACATAAAAATGTGCCACATTACTATGGAACTGGATGCCTCTTCTTTATATAATTCTAGGTTTTTTAAAAAATAATTTTTTAATGGATAAAATACCAAAGAAGGAAGGCAAGAAGAAATTCTTATTAAATTACATTTAAAATGAATCTACCAAGTTTAAATTAATTATAAAATACTCCTAATTTTAACTCCTATACTTAGGTCTTATATATCCATATTGTGCAACTGTTCCTGGATTCTCATCACTGTAGACATTGGGAATGAACGTATGTCTCAGGATTCATCCAGGCTTTTCAAGTTCATTACTCTGCAAAATTTCTTATCAATATTTAAAAAATTCCCTTTGCTATGTTTAGCTTCAGTTTGTGTTATTCACATTCTTTTAAAAAAATCTTTATTGTTGAACATACTACATATGTCCCCTTTTTTCCCAATTGACCCCTTTAGCCTGCCCTGCTCCATGCCTCTCCCTCCCCCCCCACCCCCCCAGGCCTTCACCACCCTATTATCTGTATCCATGGGTTATGCATATATGCGTACAAGTTCTTTGGTTGGTCACTCCCACCCACCCACCTTCCCACACCTTCCCTCTGAGATTTCTCAGTCTGTTCCATGCTTCCATGTCTCTGGATCCACTCTCTTCTTAAAAGTGCTTTAGTGTTACCATGAGTCTGTAATGAAGTTTAACCCTCTTTCTGCCTGTTCTGAGAACTCATATTAATTTAAGATTGTGTATGATATCACATTTTAAAAACAGATGACTGCTTTCCTATTTGGTACCACCAATAATTCTTTCTTTTTTTTAAATATATTTTATTGATTTTTTACAGAGAGGAAGGGAGAGAGATAGAGAGTTAGAAACATCGATCAGCTGCCTCCTGCACATCTCCTACTGGGGATGTGCCCGCAACCCAGGTACATGCCCTTGACCGGAATCGAACCTGGGACCTTTCAGTCCGCAGGCCGACGCTCTATCCACTGAGCCAAACCGGTTTCGGCAATAATTCTTGTTAAGCTAAAAGTAATACTGATTTTGTTAGCTTTACACAAGGTTAAGGCATGTAAAGAGTGGGGACTTCTAAGGAATTTTCTCCTCAAAAGAACTTATTGAAGGAACATTTCAATCACTCAAAGACTAATTTTGGTTGAAGTTTATTATCTAGCCACCTCTGCTTTTTGTTTTTGCTGTTTTGACAGTTCACCAATACCTTCAGCAGTTTAGAGGGTAAGTAGTTGAAACTGGAAGTGACATTTAAATTTTAATTTATTTAGGTAGGAAAAGAGGTTGAACTTAGAACTTTTGGTTCTTCATGTGGCCTATGTTCACATCTTACAGATCGTGTGTTCTCACTCAGGATTCGGGGAGTATTAAGCCTTCTTTAACGTGCTGGATAGATCTTGAGGAGGACTTCTTGTAGGCAGCTGCTCAGCTGTTTTATTGTCGAAGAACAACTGTAGAAGGAAGCACCATTAAATTGCTTAACTGAAGTAAGAATTACTGCTGTTTGCTTGCCCACCTATTGTTTTTCCTCTCATGTTTTATTTATCTGACTGATTTTGTATTTGGTTACTGTACCTAGAGTGAGCAGCACTGAGGACGACTTCCTGCACCTTTGTAGTTAAGGGTTCATCTTCTCGAGATAAAGTTGTGATGGAGTACTTGCACTCTGTGATTCCCCAGAAATGTAGGCATCAAGCCCTAGGATCATAGCAGCCACCTGGCAGGCCTCTGGAAATGCTGGGGAGATTGCATCCTCTTTGAGCAGTGTTGGCTCATGTTTATGTTTTTCTGAATCTAAAGATACAAAGAGATTCTAATACCTCGTTGCAGTCTTCTTTTCTTCCCATACATAATTTAAATCTCATTATTATATAATGCTTCGAATGATGCCCTTGACTGAAGGAAGTTTGCTGTTTTCTCAAAGACTTTCTGTTACCGAACATTAGAATCTCTACTAAAACAAAACTGAAAGAAAAGGCAGCCTTGGAATTTCTTAGATGAATGCTTTTTGGAGCTTAGAAAGGCTATTTAGATGTATGTAATGCACCCATTTTTATTCTTTTAAGTAAATTTTGATTTTTTTAAAAAATTGAAATATTGGCTTCTATCAGCCTGACTTAATTATAGAGTAAACCAATTTCCCCTCTGAAAGCTGATAAATAAAATTCATTGTTGCTATAGATGTGAACTTAGGGGTTAAATGTGGATATTCTCAAAGGTGTGAGGCTTGTTTCAGGAAGAATGTTAATGCTCCCTTTGCAATCAGTCATGCAGAGCCCAATTTGGGGTTGCAGAATATGACTTCAGTGGAAGCCAAGGTTTTTCATAATGCACTGTGGTCAGGTCTAGCACAAATTCTCTGTGTGCTGGTTGAAGAAACACAATTCAAAGGCAATAAACTAGGAATTAGAAATGTTTTTTTTTCCATAATCATACCAGCAAATAAATAAAATGTTATTTTAAGTATTTCCAGTTGTAATCCTGTTTCATTTCTCTCTGCTTTTGAGATATTTATTACTAAATACTATTTTAGGAAAAATTCACAGAAATAACAGATGAATATTATCTGTGATATCTGCAGATTTGACTTATATAGCTAACATATTGTGTGCTGGATTTTTAACAATGACATGACATATATGAGCGTTTCAGTTTACAGAATTTGAAGTTCTATTGTAATGTTTAAGTATCCAAACTTCCATTTAGATAACTGAGGTACCTTTTTAGAGTTACAATAGTTAGACCCACATTTCCTTCTTTTTATGGTATTAGCCTCATGCATCTGTACAAAAATTTATAATACAGTGTTTCATAGTTTTTGTACTGAGATATTTCCTATATTAACATTTTATAGTATATTCTTAATCTCCTTTGGCTAGTGAATTAAAGCTGAATTTGTCTAATATCAGCATACTGTGATTTGTATCTATATATATAAAAGCCTAAGCGACCGTTAGGACCAAACAACCGGACAACCAGCCGGTAGCTATGATGCGCACTGACCACCAGGGGGAAGACACTTAATGCAGGAGCTGCCCCTGGTGGTCAGTGCGCTCCCACAGCCAACCTCCTGCGGCTGGCTAACTTCCCAATCGGGGCAGCCAGCCAACCTCCCGCAATCCCTCCCCCACAGCTGACTGGCCCCAATCGGCCCCCATCGCTGGCCAGGCCAAGGGACCCCACCTGCACGAATTCATGTACCAGGCCTCTAGTGTTTACATAAAATGAGAGGGCATCGTTCTGACCAAGTTGCAGCATTAAAACTTTATCTGATGGGTCTATGTTGAGTAATCAGCCCTGTGTGCAAACACTCAGGGAAGGAATAGTATAGAAATCATTTTATATAAAAGCTCCAGTACCAGACCCAGAAGGCCAGAGGTAAGGGAAAGATGAAATATTTATGATAAATTAAGGAAACAGTCTTAGATATAGTCTCCTTGGTGTAGATAATTTAATGCAGATTTTTACCTCAAGTTTGTTACTAAATCTGATAATTTTATTCCTCCATCTGTTTAATAAAAAAATATTTCAGACCCTGGAGTATTTAAAATTTAAACATGAAATTAATTTTAATTTCTGCTAATGTTACTAATTCTGTTATAATTTGGGGTCAAAACAATCCCATTTTTGGAGGTAATTTGAAACTGCTTATTCATATACTATGTAATCCGGGAAATTTATACTATGAAGAACCTAATGTAAAATATGCATGATATATTTTAATGCATTGTTTGTGTAAAATCATTTGCATATTCTATTATAGTATTTCCTAATCTCAGTAAAAATACACAAGCCAAGATCCATCTTTGTACAAGCCAGTATTTGATTTCTAGTTTTCTTTATTAAAACATTTCCACTCATTCTTTCATGCCTCGATGTCTAAGATGTATCTCAGGTATCTGATAAGTTAGATCTTCCTGTGAACAACATGGTCAGCTTTGAGAGACCAAACATGCTCAGTGAGTTGCATCTTCCACATGTTAAAGTCTAAAGCCAACGTAAAAGCTGAAGTTCTGGAATAATGTATTCTTGGGGAGGTTTCCTGGAGGAGATCCATATTCCATTTTGTGATAAGGCCACTCCAATGAGTTTTTCTCTAAGTTGGAATAGCTCACTCTTTTACTGAGTATTGTAGCAGTCAGGGTTCTACCAAGAAAAGAAAAACTACTTGAGGATTTTAAACAGGGAATTTAAAACAATTGATTGCTCAGCGTTAAAAGAGCTGAGAGGACAGGCAAAAGACTGAGGTCACTCAAATTAGTAACAGCAGGAAGCCAGTACTATCCCGATGCTAAGTGGACAAAGGAAGGAAGTGGGGCAAAGCTCAAGGCCAGGGTCACGCAAAGGAAGCCAAACTGTAGCAGAGGAGAGCAGGGTCTTAGAGGTGAGGCAGCTGATGGCAAAGCAGAACTCTGGCTTCTCTTCCTTCTGTCATTGACTCCGGTTGGCAGCACCTGACTGGAAGCCAGAGGCCCCAGGAGCTTGGGAAGTGCGGCCTGTAGGTGTCAGGGAGCCAGAGTCCACAGGCCCAGACCCGGCCCAGCACTGAGGAGCTGGCTTGCACTGGGAGGCCAGGTTGTGTAGAGAACGCATATCCTTAAGGAATAGAATCAACAGATGAAGATGACAGTACAAGAAATACTCTGGAAGCAAGATTGGCTTTGTCTCCAGTCCACTCCAGAGAGAGGATTTGGAGGAAATGCCTGTCTTGGACTTCCATTTCTCGTTCACATCCCTCCTCTACTCCCCACTCCCTCCTTTCCTTTTTCCTTCTCTCCCCCAAACAGGGCTAGTGGGAAATGTGAGAAACAGTATTGCTTTTTATAAATCAAACATGAAAATAGAACATGAAAAGAATGTGTAGTGCCTGACAGGAAGAGCTAAAGCATTCAGGATACTACAGTCATGGAAGTGTTGGGAAAGAGGAAGCAATTTCTTAAATGACTCATGAAAGATAGAAAATAAAACCTTAAGAAATTAGTGTTCTCAAAACTTTATTTAGAACTTCATCTACCTAATTACTTAGAAAAGTCGCTTAATTTTACTTCATCCCTCACCTTTAGAGAAAAAAAGTGTAAACCAGTTCACAAATTATAGGATCACTGTTTTACCACTGGAAGCATCTCTACAGACTATCTAGTGACAGAATTAGGGTGACCATGTGTCCCAGTTTGTTAAGGACAGTCCCAGTTTACATCTGCTTCCTAGTATAATTATTAATAGTGCCTCCTTTCACTCAAAACTGTCATAGTTTAGGTAAAAAGTTATATGACCATCTGACCACCCTAGTATACCTGTTTCTGACAGCTCGGCCTGACAAATTTCACCCTTTCTGGACTCCAATCGCTTGTTCTTTGCACTAGACCCATATGCTTGCTTAAAGGACAATTTCTGGCCAACAGGCTGGGGGCTCTTGCTCAGGATGCTGAGTCTTACCTGGTATTCGTTTCCCCCCTGAAGTGGAATGCTAGGGTTCTTCATGGAGGTTAAGCGAGGAACCAGATTATTCATACCAATTAGCCACTAGATTGTTGACCCAAATTTTCCTTCCTAAGGCCAAAAACCAGTTATTAGCAAGAAATAAGAATTAACAAATATGTATTTTTATTTTTCAGCTCTATTGAGGTATAATTGAAGAAATAAATTGTAACATTTAAATTGTACAATGTGGTGATTTGATATTTGTATTCATTGTGAAAGGATTCTCACCATCAAATGAATTAACATGACCATCACCGCACACACTAACCCTTTCTGTGTGTGAAAACTTTTAAGATCTACTCTCATCAAATTTCAATTATACAATAAAGTATTATCAACTATACTCACCATGCTATACTTTAGATCCTTAGAACTTATTCATTTTATAAATGAAAGTCTGTACCTCTTACCAATTTCTACTTATTTCCCCCACTTCCCAGCCCTTAATTTTCTATTTCTATGAGTTTGACTTTATTTTTATTTCCCACATATAAGTGAGAGCATACAGTAATTGTCTTTCTTCTGTCTGGTTTATTTCACTTAGCATAATGCTCTTTAGGTTCATCTATGTCACAAATGGCAGGACTGCCTTCCTTTTTAAGTGTGAATAATACACACACACACACACACACACACACACATCTTCATTCATCCATCAGCAGACATTTAAGTTGTTTTCATACATTGGCTATTGCAAATAATGTTGCAATGAATATGGGAGTACAGATATCTCTTTGAAGTAGTGATTTTATTTCTCTAGATATATATCCAGAAGTGACATTGCTGATTTATATGGTAATTATACAGTATGTTTAATTTCCTGAGAAACCTCCTTACTGTTTTTCATAGTGGCTATATCAGTTTACATTCCCACCAAACGTCTTCTCTACACATACTCACCAGCTTTTATCTTTAAAAATATATATATATTTTTATTGATTTCAGAGAGGAAGGGAGAGGGAGAGAGAAACATGAATGATGAGAGAGAATCACTGATCGGCTGCCTCCTGCATACCCCACACTGGGGATTGAGCCCAAAACCCAGGCATGTGACCTGACTGTGAATGGAACCTCGACTTCCTGGTTCATAGGTTGTCAACCACGGAGCCACACCATCAGCGTTTATCTTCTGTCTTTTCAGTAATAGTCATCCTAACAGGTGTGAGGGGAAAATTCATTGTGGTTTCAATTTGCATTTCCCTGATGATTAGTGATGTTGAACATCTTTCATATACCCATTTATACATCTCTTTTGGAAAAATGTTTGTTCAGGTCCTTTGCCTGTATTTAAATTGGGTTATTTGTTTTTGTTTTGTTTTTACTGTTGAATTGTATTAGTTCCTTATGTATTTTGGATATTAACTTCTAATTGGATATATGGTTTGCACACATTTTTCTCAGATGTCCTTATATTTTGTTAAGGTTTTCTTTGCTGTGCAGAAGCTTTTTAGTTTGATGTAGTCCCACTTGTTTGTTTTTGCTTTTGGTGTCAAACCAAAAAGTCATTGTCTAGGCCCATTTCAATTCCTATGTTTTCTTTTAGTGTTTTGCAGTTTCAGGTCTTATGTTCAAGTCCTTAATCGATTTTGAGTTGAAATTTTTAAAAAATATATTTTGATTTTTTACAGAGAGGAAGGGAGAGGGATAGAGAGTTAGAAACATTGATGAGAGAGAAACAGATCAGCTGCCTCCTGCACACTTCCTACTGGGAATGTGTCCGCAACCAAGATACATGCCCTCGACCGGAATTGAACCTGGGACCCTTGAGTCCGCAGGCCGGCGCTCTATCCACTGAGCCAAACCAGTTAGGGCAAGAGTTGAATTTTTGAGTATTGTAAGATAGTGGTGGATTTTATTCTTTTGCGTGTGGATGTCCAGCTTTCCCAACAGCACTGATGGAAAAGACTATCCTTTCCCTATTCTGTATTCTGGGTACCATTGCCAAAAATTAGTTTACCATATGTGTGTGGATTTATTTCTGTTTCAATATCTATGTGTGTGTTTTTATGCTGATACATGCTCTTTTGATTACTGTAGCTTTGTAATATTGTTTGAAATCAGGAAATGTGATGCCTCTAGCTTTGCTGTTCTTGCTCAAGATTGCTTTGGCTATTTGGAGTCTCTTGTGGTTCCACAGGAATTTTAGGATTTTTTTTTCTTTCTATTTCTGAGAAGAATGCCATTGGAATTTTGATAGAAATTGTATTGAGTCAGTAGATCATTTGGGGTAGTGTGGACAATTAATTCTTCCAATTCATGAATACAGAATATATTTTAATTTATTTGTGTCTTTTTCAATTTCTTTAATCACTATCTTATAGTTTTTAGTGTACAGGTCATTCACCTCTTTGGTTAAATTTATTTCTAAATATTTGATTTTTTGATGCTATTGTAAATGGAATTGTTTTCCTAATTTTTATTTGC